GAGCCAGGCACGCAAAGCTTTGCCATTTGAAGCAGCATGTGAAGCATGTGCAGTTTAAAAAATTGTCCTCCTTTCATGCATGATTTACACTCAGAGACAAACTTTTGTTTTTGTTGAAAACAAGAATATGGTTTGTTACTGCATTTGTATCTACAGGTACAGATTTATGGAGTATTTTTAAAAGATTTTGCCTGAAACAGATACATTAATGTTTATATGTGTGCATGCATGTGTGTAAACTGAATCCTGTTTACACAGGAGAGGAGAGAGAGAGAGAGAGAGGCAGTTTTCAGGGGGTATTTTGAGGGTCTGAGTGTTTCTAGTTGCTGAGAATTATGTGAAGTTAATACCAGTATAATGTCACTTTCTGTCATGCCCCCCTTAAGATGAAAAGGACACAGTTTTCAAAAGCAGATGCAAATGTAAAGCAGTTCTTATTTGATTTGTTGACTTCTTGATTTGTTTAACTTTTTAGCTCTGTGGGATTTTCCAGTTCATTGATATACTTACTGGGGGCACTTTTTCAGGGTATGACATAATATTATGTTTTCCTTACTAGTAATATTGGTTGACTTTTGCATTTGACTTGTTTATTTAAGAATCCAAACAGTAAAATATTTTTTTTCCCTCTCAGTTGAGGAAAGTGGGAGTTATTTTATTGTTTTGACATTAGCAAAACATTCTCCTAGACCTCCCTCAGAGAGGTTTTATGTAAAAGTTATACAGACAGGCTAGAAAACCTGTATCTAGGATTTTGTGGAGAGGTTTTGTCTGATTTTTTCCCAAGTAGCAGGTATAAGATACTGGTAATAAAGATAGTTTCTGTAGTTCCCTTGAATATATTCTGAAAGTACTGTTCCCACAGATGTGAGCTAAATATGTAGGAGATTCTGTAAGATAATGTACAGTGCAATTACATCTTCTTCATTTGTCTGTCGATAAGAGCATTATCTCCTTTTTGCTAGCTATATACTCTACCTTTAGGGGCACGAAAGCTCGCATACTCACACGCCACTTGTAACAAGAGAAACATTTCATGTAGTTATTGAACAGTCTACGAGATGCATTCTGAGATGCATTCTTACTCACTGGTGCTTAATTTATCTAAGTGTCAGTTCTTATAAATTATGAAATTAACTAAAATAAAAATTACATTGTATTATTGTATAAATTATGTTTATACAAATTATTTTTTTCTGTTCCATCCAACAAAAGCTGCTTTAAGAACCTAAGAACTGACACAATCCTGGTGAATTTGCTTTAGTCTCTTGTCAATTAGCAGCTATCTGCCTCCATGTGTTTGTGAAAGCATACTCTATTTGCTTTCTTATTCTGTCCCAACTGGTAGAATACTGTGAGCATTCAAAAATGCAGTGATGCTTGCTTCTGTGTACAGTTAGAGGAACTTACTGAGTTTTAATGTCTGCTTCCTTTGTGGAATACTACTATTTCTCATTAGCATCCCGATAGCTAGGTATATATACTTAAGTGATGGAAATCCCACTAGATACTCATGTCTCTTTCTATTGCAAAGTCTAACCTTCATTTATGTACTGTATTTATTCATTTTTTTGTATTTTGTGTGTCTACAGTATCAAATACATGCAAGTCTGTATAGAGGTATTTGAGGTGTTAAAGACACTGTTACCAAAGTATGGATTAATATAGCAGCAGGGAGAGTAGACTTTTGAAAGTTGCGGTCACCTTGCAGCAGAACATTAAATTAGAGACCTTTGCAAGGATTGGACTAGATCTCAGCTATAACTTTTTATTTACTCTGAAAAAAGTCTTGAAATGTCTTTTTTTCTTTTTTTCTTTTTTTTTTTTTTTTTTTCAGTACTGCTGTAGTTTTAGAATTTGGTTTTGTGTTCATATGAATGCTTGAGAATGGGCTTCCTTTTTAATTCACATTATTGTGTTGTTATGAGAAAAAAGAGCAAAGGAAATTTTAGTGCTTTGACTGCAGTACTGCCAAATAGCAGTGTTATCAGCATTATCACCTGCACTGCAGTATGGCACCATTTAGATGGTTCTTTCAGTGCCTTAGGCTATCATGTGGCCTGGACTTCAGTCCCCAACATCAACACTACTTCTTAAATGTGAAGCAACTGCTTTTTTTCCTTTTAATGTTGCAATGGACAGTGAATCTGTTTACTTGCATCAAAAATTTTAGCCATTGTAATCATCCAGATTTTGAGCTGAAGTCCTTCTTGGTGTTAAGCCTTTGTCTGCAGTACAGTCATTGGGCACAAGTCTGTTATGAAAACTTTCTGCTTCCTAGAGGTAATGAGTCCACCTTAAAAACTTCATGTAGTTGTTACAGAAGTTATTGAGCTACCAGGACATAAGTTTGCATGTTTTGACTTCCATTTGTATATTACATCTGTCTGGCAATCTCCATTAATGCCAATCCACCAGTAGTTCTTGACTATAGCAACTTCTGACTTCTTGACTTCTGATTAAGGAATAGAAAGATATGCATTATGGTGTCACAGAGGAGAAAGCTTCCTGAGCTGGGATTTTTTTTAGAGTTTGGGGGATTTTTTTTTCAGTGGTAATGCAGCTGCTTTTGTTTCCCTGTTCTACACAGACAGTGGGCAGTGCTGGAAAACTTCTTAAGAAACTGTCTGAATTCCTTATTGATGCTATGCTCCTGTAACAATATGTGTGCCTAATGCCTTATAGCTGACTAGGAGACAGCAGCTGGTTCTAGCAGAGGACAGTGTGGTGACAACACACAGTTCTGGCTGGACAGCAGTATTATGACCTCTTTGGACTCAAAGACATCTCTCCACAGGAGACTCCAGCTGTTATGCAGGCTATTGAAAGCTTCTCACAGCTATCCTGTTTTCTAAGTTAGTACACTATAAAGTGCCACAGTAGAAAGGAAATGTCTGTTTCTGAAATGTTTCCTTGATTAAAAATACTATGCCCAAGGCAAAATATGCTACTCTTTATGGCAGACGTATAGGGAGCAGAACTGTTGGGAGGTCTGAAGTTACAGAACAAAATTTGTCAGAAAATTTAAAACTGTTAAACATTTCACTCTGCTCCATTGAAAAGGGCAAACTGGATGCACAGAATATTCTTAGTTGGAAGGCACCCACAAGGATCATCAAGTCCAACTCTTAAGTGAATAGCCCATATAGGGATTGAACCCACAACCTCAGTGTTAATAGCACCATGCCCTAACCAACTGAGCTAATTAGAGACAGCCACTGAAATGAATTTCTGAAATTCCAAAGGAAGAAGGGCCTTATACAAATTTGAGCAGGAAAGGTAAGTTACTACCAAAATAGGTTTTTGAATTGTAACTGGTTCACATGATATCTGTGTGTTTCTGTAGTAAAGGAAGAATGTGTCTTCAAATATAAATTCTTACAAGGCACAAAAATCTCACCTTTAAAGGCAAGTGTTTTAGCCAAGCATAATGGAAAAAAACAGATGCACTTGGATGTCTTGTTGAAGAAAATATTTCCTTTCTGCATATTTTAGAAGTGGAAGTTAAGATGCTGATGTGAAATATGGATAAGCTGTATTTGAGCCGTCATTATTTCTTTTAATCATTGGTGTAAAAGTTTTAAAATTAAGGGGATCACTCTTAGTAGAAAGGGTAAAGAAATGGTGGAATTCTGAAAAAGCCTGAGTATTTTATTCCTCTGAAAATATATTTAAGTCTCAGTGTTTACAGTGCTCTTTCTTTTGCTTTAGGGATGAGTTTCTGAATTGAATAATTAGACTTGCATTTGAAGTCATTTACTAATTGAAATTTAAAGGTCTGTTAAGACTGCTGTTTGAGATTTGTCTTAATATTCTGCTTTCAAGAACGTCATTTGGAGGCCAAAACATTACCTTATGATAAGTGAGATATTGATGGGTTCTAGTCCAAAATTCTGATCCTGTTGTTTTACAAACATTTAAGTTTATTTTTACTGATTGGGAAAATTTTGCAAACTCAGTCTTAATTACAGTAAATATAAATTAATACTTTGAGCATCATAATTTAAAAAAAATAGAAGTCATTAGAAGTATTTTTTTCCCCTCTGTCTTATCTGTAGTGTATCTGTACATAAACTTGTGTGCGTGCTATCATAATGTTTGTAGAAAGGTAAGTAATAACCGCTATGGCACAGTGATAGCATGCTAAATTTTTTCTTCTGTGGATACAGATACAAGGTAATGCAACATGGGCTGGAAGAAAAGGTGCCTGCCTGCATGTGCTCTCCCTCTGTTTTCATTGCACTTCCACAAGTGCTGGTATGATTCTATCATTCCCTGAACAAGATCCTACAGAAACTCACACTGTTTTCTGCACACGTGCTTCCTAAAATGTCTTTTAGTGAGATTAAATAAATTCTAGGTTTAGGAATGTATAGGAATAAATGAGGCTTAGGACATCAATTTGCAATGGCAACTGACTGTTAATTTGTGGCAAATGTAACGTGAGGAATTTCTTTAGATCCAGAATTTAGCTAGTATTCTTTTTTTGGTCCTATTGGGTCTCAATGATTTTTTTTTGAAAAAAATTATTTATTGCTGTGTTTAAGGTTTTACGTGCCGCTTCTAATTGTGTAGGCAATTGGGTGTGGAGAGGAAACGTTGGAACTAGCAATGCAGGGTTAGAAAAAGTGTGACTTTCAAAATTAGGGCTATAGCTTTTCCTTTTTCATTTTTACTTATACCATTATTGTTCATTAAAAGAAGGTAGATTGAAAGCCTTACACTGATGCTATATTATAAATGCAATTTTGAATGAGGACACTAATTAGATATAGGCAATTGAATTGTAGTTAGTTGATGACTAGTATTTTAATTTTTCAGTTTGAAGGAGTGAAAACATACGTGATTTTGAGTATCTTTGGCCATTGGCAGAGTAATTGTGCCATTCAGTTACTACCAACATTTGTAATTAGTTTATCTCATATTTTCAGGAAATATTACTTGTCATTTAAAAAGGTTAAATTTGACCTAATGTTTATCCTCATTGTCATTTCTTTAAGGTCCTATTGAGTTTGAAGAATGTAACACATCCAGTGTAGCCGAAGGTGAGTTGCTGTAGCATAGTTATTTACACAAGAATGCTGTGGATTAGGACCTGGACTGTGAAGCAAAGGGTACTCAGTGTGTGATTCTGTATAACTTTTAAGTGTTCCAGTAGACTAAAATGCAGTTTTTCTTTTGAGAAACAGACTTCAATGACAATAAGACTGATGCCTTGGGTTTTAGCTTTTATATTTTTCAGAGTCTCTGCTGCCTGGTATGTACCATTGAAACTTTGTATTAGGTATTAGTAGGTTCTCTTCGCAGAGTAGTTAGACAAAACTATCCCTTCCCAAGTAGAGAATCAAGGACAACCATTACCCAAAAAGCATAAACAACGGTGAAGAGAAGGGGGCAAGCCAGGGAGTTAGACTTCATGACCTGGAGCTGTAATTGGACAACTGAACCCAAAATGTGGATGAACCAAAACTTAGAAAAGTATAAAACTCATGACCGGGATCCATATTGGTTACATCTTGGGTGTAGCCCTGGCCAGGCTCTTGTACTGCCCAAGGTGTATTCTTTTAAGGCCTTTCAATAAATACCTATTTTGTACATTTAGCTCTGTCTAGTCTCTGTTCCAAATCAACCTTTCTAGGCATCAAGGCCTATAAAACCTCTATAAGACTAATGCATTAAGGTCAGATAATTTGAGTGTTTCTTACAAGTATACTTTGGCTAGTGCTTTGTCTTTGCAGAGGTTTGGATTTGATTCAGTTAGGAATTCAGTGTTGTAGCTTAATTTGCAAGTGTCAAAACAATCTGCTCTTCCCATTGTTACTGTGTCAGTTAAACTAAGCCCAATGTAGTGTTCTAGTTGCAAAGTCTTTCTTTGTTGGTGCAGCTTTTTTTACTTAGGGGATTGTTTAAAGTGGTTAAGAACTGCTTGCTGTCCATAAGCTATGTCTTTACTTGTGGGACAGAGGAGTCAGCAGTATAACTTACAGCATCCAAAAACTTTTTTAAGTTGCCAAGATTTTGGCTGAGACTTAAAATCTCTTGTAACTGAAGCAGAGAGGATCCATGTTCAGAGATTACTCTCATACTCCATTTGCCATTATTTTTGTCTGCGTAAGACATAGAGGAAAAACAAAGCCCAGACATTTAAAAATAATCTTGGAGAAAATTATGTGCCTCAGTATATATTACTGACTCTACAGCTACTTGATTTGAGAAGTTTGGAGTTATTGATAATTTCTAGGAGCAGAAAGGTTCCTTATGTGATATTTAATGTATTTTTGTAAAGGTAAATATAACAAAGTGCTTGAATTAACAGTGGTTTAATTTTGGAAACCAAATTATTCCTACCACTCTGCTCAAAAGCATGCTGTCAGTAGTATCATGCATCAAAACCAAATTGTAGGCTAGTTGGATCAGATGCTTGCACTTAGCCATTTTGTTTGGCGATCTACTTTGCCTCAGCAAACGTTGTGAAGAAGCAGATGTGGCAGTAAGTCTGAGGGAATATTTAAGTGTATTTTAGTTTTAGTCCATTAAGTGGGAGTGAAAGCAATATGAAAGCAATGAAAGTACTTTTTTCAGTACTGTAGCTATATGTATCCAGTGCTAAAAGCAGGGAAGAAACAAAAGGGGAGAAGTGTAATTCCAAACGCTGTGAGAAGCAGTCTTGGAGCTGGATACAGTGCTGAGAAATCATGAACTCACATCAGCTGGAAAGCCAGGAAACACTTTTATTTTTAACAGGACTGAGATCCTACTTTTGAGGAAAGACAGGAGCTTGAAGCTCCTGGGGGCACACAGGGCAGAAGAAATAACGACAGGGTGTTGAACTGCAGTAGGTGGGGAAGGCAATGTTCAGTTTCTCATCCATGACTATTCAGGATCGCCTGGAGCAACAGCTCCTGTTGAGTTTTTGTGAGCAGAGTCCTCTTCCTCAAAACTGTCTATTAAAGAAAACAGAGTCTGTATACCCAACTTGGAGATTCAAGTCAGTTTTTTAAGAATTTTATTACTAATGTGTTGAACCCTATTTTGATTTTTTTAAAATTGATGTTTCACTTAAAGCTAATTGGAATAATGTTCCCTTAGTTTGGCTCCATACCTGTCTCCACTGCATACTTGTGGCAGCATTTAAAACATTGGATTCATATGCATCTGTGTTTGACATTGCTAAATATGCATTTATCTCTTTGATGTATGAATGAAAAGTGTTTGTTCTATAGGAATAAAACCACGGAAAAGGAAGCCTTTTGGTTTATCAGGAATAATGAAAAAAGAAAAAGATACTGAATCTGTGTAAGTATATTTCCACCCTGAAGCCTTGTTTTGCATGAAAGCTAGTAATGGGGATAAAAAGTATGCAGTATTAAAAAAAAAAAAATTAAAAAAAAAAAAAAAAGGTTATAAACTTATAATAGCAGTTTAAAGGAACACAATGAATACAGAAACATCACAGTTATTTACAATTTTTGTCACCAAGGATTTTAACATAAATAACAAATAACAAGTGTATTCATAGTAGTCAACTCATGTTTCATTCTTTCCTGGGCATAGGTACGTAGTTTTCCATTCTTCTACCTGTCAACATTGTAGATAATGTAGTCCACGTTAATCCTAATAAAATATGTCTGTGCGTGGTAAAAGTACTGGATGGCTATGTTTGCAGAATTGAAGCTTCAGGTATTCTTCTGTTAGAAGAACTTCTACATATACTGTCAAAGGACAGAAAAATGCAGTATGTCATGAGCATAGTCACTTCTAAAACACCATCATTCCAGATCAGGACTGATGTCCCAAATATACCCTATGCCATATTCTTTGCATGTACTCAGTCTCCCCGGGGTTAATCTGTGCAAAAAGTGTGTTTGAATAACAGTTCTGAGGTGAATTAGTCACAGTGTCTAGTATGTAGTATTTATGGTCAGTGTATTTTTTCATAGTTTCTACATGTATTTTCTCAAGAAGACAGCTTACAATTTGACAAATTTGACAATATAGAAATATTCCCAGAGACAATATCTGCATACATACTTTTTAAGATTAGTTTTTAAAGTATTTTACCAGTGTTAGTTTTCTAACATACTGCTGAAAAATTCATGACCTTAGAACAGCAGGTGCTAATAGTATTTTGTTTCTATATTCACACACTCTACAAAAGAGACTTGCTTCTGAAATCTGAAAAAAAAAAAAAAAAGTGTAATGGCATGATATCAATCTCCTTTGTAAAATGTGCCATAGGCATTTACAGAGATTCTTGCATTAAACCATAACTACTAAATGAACTAGAACATCACAAATAAATAAAAGAGGATTCATTATGTGTTTACATAATACATTCTAATACTTCTTTTATGAGCTCTTTAGAGATATAGATTGCTAGTCTGTGTTTTGTCTGATTTAATCTTCAGCTGACGATCTTGTTATGGACTGGAAATGATGAAACTGTCATCAGAAGCTTCTCTGCACACAGAGGACCAGTCCTGCCTTGGTCTTGTGTTTTATTATTGTTTAGTTTGTGTAGGGCAAGCTTTCTACATCTAGAAAAGCTCTCACGGTTAGTAGGCTTTTTGGTTGGTCAAGACAGTTTTTAAACTGTTGATGTCTGAACTGGTGTGTCTAGTAATGGTTTTAATTCAAGGAAATACCACACAGGGTGCATTCTCTTGTATATTGCTGTAGTGTAGCCAGGGATTTCACTTCTAACCACTGCTTTGCATGGTTTGGTTATTTCAGTTTTTATCTACAATCCTTAAATTCCCTTATAAGATCTCCATTTTCTCAAATATTAGCTTATAGCAGAAGGATGACCCAGTTCTTTAATTTAAAAAGAATTATCTAGTATATCTACTGATTTAAAAGTACTTCCATCTGCAGCTTGATGTCCCCATTCTCCACCCCACCAATGTTTGTAAACTGCTGTGTTTTTCTTGCATCTATAGAATAAATCCTGAGAGATGCTGGTAGTACTCCTCTGAGTGATACTAGATCTGCCGTTTCTGTTTGAGATCTCTTAGCTCACTGATTTTGGAAATCTTCATTGTGGGCTGAAATATATTCATTCATTTGCCTCATATTTCACAATTCTCAACTTTTATGTACCTCTGACTATCTTGTTTGCATACAGACTTTTTGAAACCACATCTCTCAAGGGAAGGATATACTTTGTCTTTTCAAGCAGTATAATATCTTTCAGAACAACTCTATTGCTATGAAAGATGTAAAGCAACTAGAAGTTTGATCACATGTGTCTTCTTTTGTGTGAGGCCTTTCAGAGAAGATGGAGTGCTTCATCTCATTGTCAGTTCCTTAACAAGCTTTACTGAATTTTGTATTAATGCTTCCATGTTATCAAGTTTTTTGCACCTGTTTTTAACACACTGTAGTAAAAGCTACATTTTTTGCTTTTAACCCTTTTTTTTTTCAGAGAAGATGTTTTAGATTAAAATATATTTTATTTTTGCCACGTGCTTTTTTCTGTACATGCATGTGTAGGATGTTCAGACTAATGATATAGAAACACTCTTTATTAAGTTACACCATCACTATTTGTCAGCGTGCAAATTAGAGAGGACTTGTATGCTACTCAAGTATTCCCACATTCTGTAAATGTAATTGCTTCTGCTTTTTGACGACATGAGAGAAAATCAGTGTCATTCATTATTTTTCGTACTACTACTCAAATTCAAGTTGTAGTGCAAAAGTGTAACACCTGTGAATATGTGGTTGCAACCACTGCCTTCCTGCAGACAACTTTTTTAAGTGCTTTTTAGGACGGTACTCAGTTATTTTGTTCAGCATCTTCTGGTACTTGACTGCAACTGTGCTTGACAAACACAAACTAAGAATGCAACTCTAGAAGAGGAAGCTCTGAATTCCTCTGAAGAAAATCTTAATTTCTTTGTGAACTGGATTTTGTCCAAAACATTTTGCACTTACAGGTAGACTATTTCATTAGGATTGGTGACTTCTGCTTATCTCACCCATCAACCATGAAGACTTGAAACTTAAAGTATATTCATCCATAACACAGTGTGGTAGTCCTCACTTTCCTTGATATTTTTGTTATTAATTCTTTTCAGTAATATGTGAGTTTGTTTTTTCATAATTTCTTCTGAGTTTTTCTTCTGCAGGTGTTAAACTGTCAGGTGTTATTTAAATCTCATTCAGTTAAATGTGGATTATTTAAAGTAAAAATTTCTAGAATCTGAGAGGCAAAAGGGTCAAATGCACTGTTTTAAATTCATTTAAAATACTGAAGGAAATTTTGTGTGAATGAAATAAGTTGTGCCTTCTATAATTGTAAATTTTCTTTTTTTTTTTTTTTTTAATAGGGAGTGTCCAGATGCAGACTCAGTTGTAAGTAGACTTATTTCCAAAAGAAATGCATATGCTTATACTATCAAGCCCTACAATCTGACGAAACTTAACTTACATACAGTCCCTGCAATACACAATTTATCTGAGGATTTATAGAGGATTTCATATTTTCATATTATACTCGAAGTGTTAATTTTGTGCCATACATGATCTTCAGCACTACGTACAAACAAGTGTCAGTAATGCATTTTTTTTCCTAACAATATTAGGTTTTAAGCCAAGTGTTTTCACTGCAAATATATGTTACTTTATTTTTCAGCTAATAATTTGAATTCCTTGGCTAATAGATTCTAAGAAAGAAAAAGATTTAGTTTATTGTGGACCCAACTTTGTGTTGTCATATTCCTCTGCTTACTACTGTTTCTTTTGAGAAGTCCTTCTAATCTTGACTGGGTTCTGCTTTACCACTGGCAATAGAGTGTAGGAACACACCATTTAAAATATGGCTTTAAATGCAGCATTTCTAAATGCACTTTATTAATGGTCTAGTTTTCATTACTGTTAGTTAGATCTGTGAGATGTCTTACAATTTTTTTTAGTCAATTCAGGTAAGTGACCATTTCAAATTAAATATGTTAATGATTTTTATTTCCTTAATTTAGTCTTTTCTTTTTATGCAAACATTTATGTTCTCTTGAATTAACATATGACAAAGATTGTAACTCCCTGTAGCTATGTTTGGGAAAAATTTACAGAGTAATCTAAGTGATTTTCTGTAGACTTATTTAATATTTTTCATTCATTCATTTAGGTGCAAATTATATTACACAATTTTATTTTGTGGATTTTCTTATTTTTGTTTGGTAACTAGGAGGTTTTAGTACCTAACATTAAAATTTGTTTTGAGAAACTTGATTTGAAACATCTAGTAAAACTGTCCTTCTAAATGAAGAAAGTTTTACCACATAACAGAACTGTATGTGTAAGAACAGATGTGTAATTCTTGCCAAGACAGTTATTTTATATTGTGTTATTTTATATTGACTTACAACAAGTTTCTTTCTTTGGATGCATTTAAAAAGACAGTAACAATAGAAGTTTCCTTATAATTACAATTTAATTATATAAAATAATTTGACACTACAGGTTGAGTCATTGGAGTGAACCACAACTTGCTTTGAGTTGCAGTGTTTATTTTCTTTGCTTATTTTGGTCTCCATGTTTTTTGAAAACAATTAGTTCAAACAATTCAAGTATGAATTGGTTGGCATTCTATCTGGCTACATGAGGCACACCATATGATCAGCTAGGTTAATTGTTGATATTGGTGGTTTGGTTTGGTTTGGTTTTTTTTTTTTTTTTGCCTGCTCAACATTTTATGACTGCATTTGGAACTTAAAATTTGGTCTGTGGTTTCTGCTTGCTTTTTTCAAGCCACAGTAGTATTCTGTATAGTGATTGAATGCTTTAAAAGCAGAAGTTATTATTGTAATTGTTGTGAAAAAATGATGTGAGATTCATTTCACCCCTAACAAACAAGCAATCCAAAGTGCTCTTATGTTTTAAGGTTGGAGTCCTCTTCTGAAAGATCTCATTTCAAATGCTTTTAATTTTTCTTTTCTTTTACTTATGGGTTTCCTTTCTGTTTAATTTTTCAAACCTAATCTAAATACTTTAAACAGCCTCTATCATCTCTAGGAGAATTTGTTTGGTATGGATATTTGCAACAAATTATATGTTTCAAGAAATTGAACTTGGAAGACTATTATTAAACAAAAAATATTAAAGCAATATTAATTTGGGTTTGATTGCTGGGAAATACTGTGGAACAGACCTCAGAAAATTCAACTTAAGATGTCACAGTTATTATTTTTTCAGTTTTGATCACTCACAGAAAACCTGTCTGGTATATATTTGATTGTGATCATTTTTTTAAAGGTGGCTTTTGTTTATTTGTCAAGAATTTTAATTGTGTGACAAGAATGTGAGCGATAACTAGTCTTCAATTATATATAAGCACCAAGGTAAAAATATTGCAAATTTTCAAGTTAAGGATGTAGCAAGAGCTGATTTCTGTATATTATCTACCAGTTCTGTGTGCTACTGTGAATCTTTGAACATACTATGTAGACAATATCATTACGGTCTTCTCACTAGTGAAAAATGTGTAACGTAGTCTATCGGATTTCTGTTTCCAAAAACAAAATGGTGAGATGGGTCAAAAATGTCTTTTGTCCCAAAATCCTCTCAAATTTATATGTGGTGAGACAGATATGCTTATGCTCATCCTTTTGTAGTATCCAGATTATATCTACTGGAAAATGGAATTAATGTTTTATTAATTTAGTATTTTTATGTAATGGCTGTTAGAGGTTTTCGTGGGCTCATTAGTAGGCAGCTGTGGACTGAGTATTTGTATTTGTAACTAGTATTTGTTAAAAAAAGTTGACCACTTGAATAAGCAGTGTCTGTTTAAATATAGGTGACAGAATCTCATGACATTTAAAATTCCTGAGTTTTTTATATGTCAGTCTATAGCATAACTTCCATTAAGCTAAAGCTTGATAATTAAGAAAAATGGAAAGTCTGTAGTAGAAAGTGTATGCATTGGAAAGAGATAGCAATTGAAGACTGACTCTCTATGGGGGTTTTGCTTCAGAACATTTTTCTAAAGGCTGACATGTCTTGTTTCCCATGAGTTTGCCATGTCTCTAGAGATGTTCTCTAGGAAGATATGAGATCTAAAAGAAACTTTTATTTCAGGGAAACTTTTGCAAGGTTCCACTTGTGTCCAGTAAGATCTGAATTGGGATTGCAACCCTTCCCTTGGTTAGGATGCTTGCTGATCTCCTTTTTCTACTTCACTGCCGATTTTCACGAAGACTGTAGTAATGTAATTATCTTTGAGTTCTCTGTTCTTTCTGTCAAATCCATTTGAAATTGTCCAGTAAGTTCAAAAGTAATTAAGAAGGGAGTCACCGATGTACAGAACATAACGCTGAAAGTTCTTTTTTCATGGGAAACTGAAATGCAAACACATACCAAGGCATCTGAAACTTTTCATTAGCATTTTCATATGTGAATGTAGCATAATTACGGTTATGTAGAATTATCGACCATTTTTTTATTGTTGGGGACTGGTTGAATTTGGAACCATCAGTTTCTGAGAGGTGGAACACAAGAGTAATCTAATATTTATTGAAATTAAAGTATTTTTCCTTATTTGCATTTTACAGCATTTTGTTCTGGCATTTTTCAGATAGTTACTATTGAGGACAAGGCTCTCTATTGTAGCACAAGACAGGGGCACTTTGAATTCCCATTTTACTTTCTTTCTGCGTTTCTGACAATAGGAGAAACTGTCTGCTCTCTTCTTCTGTGTCTTTTGGGTTAATAGGCACCCTAAGGAGAGGAGGCCAATATTATGCCTCTGTCTTAACCTGAGTATATGCCAGAGTGAAATTTACATCTCAAATATGTCAAAAGTGGAGAGCCTTTTTGTTCGCTTGTTCCAGCCTATGAGCTTCAGCTGCTTACTTTGAGTCCTCATCTGGATTACAGGAAGCCAGTTGAGTTCTGGCAGAAAAAAATAGAGTGAGCTGTTCAGCTGCATTGTGTCTTGAAGCATACCCTCAGGAAAACTTGATAAGAGCTCTCATAACCACTGTAGTTATCCCAGCAGAAGAGAAAATATAAAGAAATCAAACTGGGGCATAGTGAAGGTTCTTTGCTCTTGATGGATGACCAGCCTGTCAGCAGCGCTAGTGTTGCAGAGGAAGAGCCAAATGAAGTTGCTAGACTACAGTGCTCTGTATGGTCCTCCCTTGTCCTTTGTATGTGGCCCAGAGATGCAAATGACATGGTAATGGTGTGGCTTCTTCAATCACTTTTAGATGACACATGGGACAGAGCAAGGAAACTGAAATAAATTTTTCACCAAAGCTAAAAAATGTGTTTTGTCAATAGAATGCTTGGTTCTCAACCTTCTTATACAGGAAATTTTATTTTACTTATCAAGGCCTTATGTTTTATTTCTTTGAAAATTTATTAACCCCAGAAAGCTTGTGGAATATGCCATGGCAAAGACAAAGGTACCCGACCTAAGTTTGTGGCATATGTTTAAAGCTATATAAGATCTCAATTAACGCCTTACATCTGCAAAGATGGGGAAAACTGGCTTTTATAGCTACATATTCAGTTGCTTAACAGAACCTGAGAAAAGCTTCCTGGAAGTCCACCACTTCCAGTTGCTTTTGCAGTTGCTTTCTTTCTAGTTGCTTTGCAGAATTCAGGTCACATGCATAATGAGTTGTTGGGAGGTTTTTGACTGCAAAGAGCAGTACACATGTTTGTGTAGGGGACTAAAGCAGACCTCCATCCCCATTGTATTAATAACAACTTTTCTCAAAGGCCAAAGTTTGCAAAGATCGTAATCTTGTGTGTTGAGTTCAAAAATTATACATTGGTTGTGAGGTTGAGGTTGTGAACTCAACCTCTGATCAGCATGGTTGGCAAATCGGGTCTTATCTGTGTTGTGCGCCTAATATTTAAGATACACTGTTATTCATGACATAATATATAGTTCTGTAATTGTAGGAGTGTGGAAGAGGGAGTAAAAATTAGTCAAATAAATGTAAATGCCTTCATTAACATCAGAATCATGAATATGTGTCGCTCTCAGTTTGCTGTGTTATCTACCACTGTTATTAAATGTAGATTTGCAAATGAAATGTTGGTATTTCAGAAAGCCCATTCATCAGTTCAACCATTCAAAATATTGAGAACAGTATTTTGAAATTACTACTCAACTTGTAAGATTGTGAGGTATCATTTTACTTGTGCGTGACACAATCTTCCTTTGTCTATCCAAAGGCATATCAAGTATCTACTCCACCCATTTTTTACATTGGTTTACATAGAAATATAAATTCAGTATCTAGTTAATTAAAGCAAGTGTTAACAATGATCATAAACTAGCACATTCAATCTGGGTTAAATCAATCTGGATTACTGACAAGGCTGGGAATACAAAGCAAATTATTTATGTGTGTATATGCTGTTTCATGTCAGATGTTTGAAATTATTTAAATTTCAAACATCTATGTATTTAAATTTCAGATATAGGAAAAAATTACAAATTAAGTTTTCTAGATAGGGTTTGAAAAGAAGTGATAACATAGACTAGATGAAAGAGAAGGAAGGAATTTTCTTCTCGGAGACTGTTCAGAATTTAAGCTGTACGGTATTCATCTCTGTTATGTGCATGAAGTTGTGAAAACAGACTGCATGCTGAAGGGCTGTTTCTGAGGAACAGATGATTCAAGTATATTATCAAGATCAGAAATAATTGTCATGAAAGTATTAAGAAAGATAGTTAAATATTTTAAGATTTTGGTGCTTTCTTCATCCTAGAGATTTTTCAGTAAATTAAAAATAGTACAATGAAAATAACTTCTGCAAACTTCTCTCATAATTTTATATCAAAATAGTCAGTTTTGCCTATTTGACTATTTATATAATCAGCTACATTGTGCATGCTGTGTCAGCCCAGTAATAGTATCCTGTACATATATGGCCCAGTTGTATAAAAATAAAATGTTGTATATTTAAAGATTTTTATTGATTTTCAATTCATCTTAACCATGAATGTCCCTGATCTATGGAAAATCACCTGGTGTGACAATTAAATTAATTTCGGAATTCAGAATCTGTAGTATTACAAGAATATAAACTACCCTGTAGCTATATGTTTTTGTGCTGTTTACTTTGATGTCAAGTTTCATTATTGGTTTTTGGTATATAAACAAGGTTATTAAGTTGTTTGTCCTAGAGCCAGTTCTTATAAGCCCTAGAAAAACACTTAATACACCCAAGGATAGCTCAGCTACACTTTGGGGGCATAAAATAAGCAGGATGGCTTCTGCGGTGGTGTTAGAAACAAAAAGGTTTAATAAAGGCAAAATAACAAACAGAAAAGCTCGAGCCAGGTACAGAGGTCTGCCCCTGGTAGAAACACTTCACACAAAAGCCCCTCTTCTCCTTTGTTCTGTTCTTTTCTACTTGATTGATCAGGCGGGACTTTTTGGCTTCTATCCAATTAGGTGTTCTCTGGTGTTTGGTGAAGTCCCTGAGGCCCTATGAGGTGGCTTTCCACCTAACAGTTGAGAGAAGCTTCTGGGCTTCTTTCCTTTTTTGGGGGACAAAGCTTAGTTTTTGCCACTCTGTCATTAGGGGGCGCATTCCTACACAAGGTCAGCTTGAGGTCAAGCATAGCTAAGAATCCTGATTTGAGCAAGTAGAGCTAAAGTGTTGGACCGTGTGATTGTACTGTTATTACTTTTTTGTTGTTGTAATTATTTATTTATTTATTTATTTACTTATTAATCAAATAGCAGTAAAGTCTAGATCTTGCAAATATTTCAAGAAATTGGATCTATATTGTCTGTATTTTAAGTTTTGAGAGCTCTGATGTTGATTTTTGGCCTTAATTTGATGTGGTATTTAATTTGGTATGTCTTACATCTGTACAAGACGGTATTTCTTATACTTTGATTAGCAGAAAGTTTGCGCCGTGTGTAAACTCTGTTTTTTTAAGAAGTGCTAAATTTAGGGAGATACACAGAGGAGATAATTTCTTAGTGAATTATCAGACATCCCAATTAAGATATCTGTAAAAGATACAGAAGGATAACTACTTTTGAATAATTTTAATGCTTATGTTCTGTACTTCCAAAGCCATTCAGAGATATTCTCTTTAAACTTGGCTTCAAATTTTATCTGAAGTTGTGTGGTTCCTTTCTTGTCCACTTGAAATCACTAGCATAAGTCATTTTGTTATATCTCTTGACTTCTAATAAATTATGTTTTGGCCATACTGTGTATACATATCTGTTGGTCAAATTGTTTCCCAGTACCTACTTTCTGATAGAATATACTGATGTTACGCTAGAATAAATTACTTTTATATGTATACATATTCTAATTTTTATATCATATTTGTAACTACTGAAATCACTGCATTTTGAAGACACCTTGGTTGTGGTTTTTTGTGATAAATTTACTGAGATGTTAAGCAGTTCACATACAGGGCCTGTGCATTTAAAGTTGTGAGTGGATTTTTTTGGTTCTGAGTGGAGAAAGTATCTACGTATCCATGTTTATCCTGTATATGTAACACATATATGATGTGAAGGTTTTGTGCATTTTTAGACTTTAGATTATTTTGGAAACTTGTTTCTCTCTGCCCCAAAGTTATTTTAATGAAACTGTATACTTAGCTGAGCATTCTAAGTCACTTTAACATCATTCTTTTTAATTTTTGTTTAATTGCCTGCAAGAACAGAAAAACAAAAGTTAACTTCCCAGATGCTTATTGGCTTTGAAGATTCAGGATAGTGTTGGAGATGTGTAAAGGAAAACTTGGGAATAAAAGTTTGAGCGCCTGTGATGTGGATGTTCTTTCTTGAAGTAACAGTGCAGGCACACTACCCTTGCTAGGGGAAGTGGAATTTGTAAAAAGTACTTTGGCTAGCATACTTAAATATTGACTAGTACTTAGGAAAGGTTTTGCCTCTGCACCATCAGAACATCTTGTGTCTTAGCTGAAAGCAGTAAAAATTGGGAAATCTTCCTGGGGCCAAGAGAATTACAGCCTAATTTAACTCAATACTAAAGCTAAAATAATGTTGATTTCTGTCCTTTTTGATAGAGTAATTGATTAATAATTAATCAGTAATTAGTAATTACAATTAGTAATTAAGTAGTGATTGATTAGTAAAAGCAGATGAATTTCAAACTTGCCAGTTTTCACAGGAAATTTAGAGCTTGTTTTGTTCCATTTTGTGCTGAGATATCTTGTCACGCAACTTCTGAATGACAAATCATAACTTCAGATAATTGTAATAATGTGGAATAAAAATCACTTTCATGAGTTATTGCAATTTCAGTTTGTCAGTGATGTAAAATTCAGTCTGGTGTAATAATGACATGGTTTTTTAGTTATTTAGCGTAATTTTTGTTGTTGTTTTTAGAACTTTCCTGATGTAGATGATGAAGGATACAGCATTAAACCAGAAGCAACACAAGATATCCTTTTTACTATTATTGTGCCAAGTTATTTATGTTACTGCAATTGTTTGGAAAGAGGAAGTACTCACTAAAGAGTTAAGGAAGATGAATGACATTTATGCCTATGTTGCAACCTTGTATTCTTACATTCATAGCTTTTGTAAAATGAACCAAATTTTTTCTTGGATATGTGTATGCAAATGTTAAAGATTAGATTAGATCAGATCTCTTGGGAACTTAAAAAGGACAGTAAAAATGAAATGCAAAAAAATAGCCAGATCCATTGCAGATCCAAAATTCCATGCAGATCTCCCTCCGTGAAAAGCTCTCAGAGAGTTTATAAAGTTTGCAAACTTTTTAAAGCATATTGAATGGTTATCTCTTCTCTACCTGTGCCCTCACTTTTTTTTCTCTAGTGTAGCACTAGAGCAGTGTAGAAATAGAATTTCTTTTACTTAATGAAGTCCATTACACTACATGCTGTTTCCAATTGGTGCTTTTAGCTTTTACTGTGTTTTTAATAGCTTCATATTGAAAGCTTTAGTAGCTTGCATATACAGAGTAGATTTTGTTCTGAGTTGCTTTATTGAGGCTGAAGATTTTTCTCTGCTGTTCCCCTGTTACTTTGGAGGAAAATTCTGGTCCACTTTTTTTCCTACTGCCACGGAGGAAAGTTCTGCTTAAGAGCTGGGAATAGTTACCATAGATCTAAGCAAGCCTAGTATGTTGGTAAGATAGCTAATTTTTTGAAATGTATTCACTGAATTTTCTGGGTACTTCATATAAAAGGTGAATTTAGGCTGTACCATTACCTTAAATTACAAAAACTTTTAAGCAGTTAACAGCTCATTACAGTGGCCAGGTCATCATCATAACTTCTTTGTTTTCATCAACTTTGCAGAATATTCTCTAATGCCCACATGTAAGAGTCCTGTAACAATAAAGCAGTTGATGTAATCGTCTATTTTAAAAAATTATATAAAAGTGACAGACTTTTATCCAGTTCTAAGAGGAGTGTTGTTTCGTGCTCTGCATGTTTTTCTGAAAGTGAGAGAGAAGCGAACAACATCCGTGCTATGATGAATGATTTATTTGGACATCCTGTTTTTTATTATCTCTTTTTTGTTGTGAAACAAAAGAAAAGGCATACATTTAGTGAAAAAAAATCCATGATTTGTGATCTGTCATGAGATAGTACTTCAGCTGCTGAAAATCTTGACCAGCTTCAGGACCTTACCAGCTCCCTTTCTCTTTTCCTCCCTTAGCCTCTAGAAATTGATTTTGTTGATGGAACTCATGAGATAATTTGTTGGAGGACATTGTTTTATTATGACAGTCAATAATAATAAGTCTGATTTAAATCTGTATTGGGGGAAACACTTTACAAGAACTGTCTTATTTGTACGAAATGAATCTTGAAGGTCAGTGATAACATTCAAGACAAGAAATCTTTTGATGAAATTAGAATTACTTTTCTTTGAAACCTTTTATAACTGCTTTATTTTGAAGGAAGAGAGATGTAAGATGAAGATACTTGGCTTTTTCCTCACCACAATTTTCAGATCCTTTCAGCTGAAGGGGATTTGGAATGTCAGGTTTAAAACTTTGTTAGAGAATAGTTTGAAGGAATTTAATGCAAATGTCTGTCATATTTTCAGGTGAAAATAACAGAAATTACTTAGAGAATATGTACACTTCTTCCAGGTGGTACAAAACTTTTCTGTAGAGGGAAATTTTCAAGTTTTTCTTGTCAAAACAAATGCAGGTTTCAAGACTTACCTTGGGCTTTTCAGAGGTTTTCTTCAGTGCTGCTCCTTTGCTTATAAAGCGCTGTTTATTTTCCTTATTCTGAGGTCTGAGATGTCATTGTGATTTATTTTTATCCAAAGATGACAGTACTTTAAGCAGCTCACATTGTTCAGTTCACTGTGCAGTCTTCTGTACACCTGGCATCCTTTCTTAAAAAATTTTCAGTGCCACAGTGTAAAAAGAGCAAGTAATGGTGGCTCCTACTCTTTCGTTCATTGTTTATGTTAGGGACAGGTATTTCATATACATGGGCATTTCACTGCTTATCAAAATACCTAGGCTTTTCTTCATTTGATTTAAAAGACTCCTACATTTTTCATACATCTGTTAGAATCCCTGCTGGAGTCTTGCAAATTATAATTTTACATGCAGAAGTGTTGCTGCTTTAGAATCTTAAATTTAATCTCATGCCTTCAAATATGCAATTATTCAGTTATATGCCAGATACTGCCATTCTTCAGTTATATGACATCATGTTTTTCTGAACAGAATCATCATTCTGAAGATAAATGAAATAAACCCCTAAATTTTAACTCTGAATTGTGCATTTTGGACTGTGGATGTATGTAACTGCACAAAGAGGTCACTTAATATGAGCATTTTGTGAATCAAAACTGTAAAGTAGATTAAGCAGATGGCTTTGAGGTATTTCCACCTTAACTGAGACAAACATACCAAAGAGAACCATTTCTATTCATCCAGTGAGTCTGACTCTGAAGATGATGAACCCAGGAGGTTCCATGTGGAAATAAAACCGGTCCAGCCAAATAACAGTTCTCAATACACTATGCCTTCTTTGGATGAATTAAAAGTATCCATAGGGAACATCACTCTTTCTCCAGCAATATCTGTAAGTCTTTTGTTCCTTGTATTTTTGATGTGTAGAAAAGTAGTTAAGAAACGGTAATGTAAACATATATTAAAATGTTCAGACTTTATTCTAGGTTCAGTAATTCTTTTTTCTTATGCACTAGGTCATTTTTGGTACATTTCATATTCCAAGATATATATAGATTGCACTTTCTTATTGCAGTATAATATTGAGCACTTTTCTCATACTTAAATTTTTCTTTGAGACTTTTGAGTGTTCAGTTCTTGTGTTTGTGCTCTTGCCACCATAAGACATTCAGTTACATCTTAAGGTTAGCTGAGCATAGCTTTTAACATAATTTGAAAATTTTCAATAACATACAAGTCTTTTAAAAAAGATCGTATAATGAGGCTACATGTAACATTTGCAGTGCAGCTTTATTGATATCCTGCCAGTTCATGGAATAATCCTTTATTCCACCAGATGATAAATAATATTAGGGTATGCTGGTACAGTATTCAGATCAGAGAAAGACTGGTTCTGATTTTAAGGAAAATAGTGTACATAACATATTAAAATAATAATTTTTCTCTTTTTTCCCTCACCACATTTTGAAAGCAGAGGCACAGTCCTGTAAGTAGAGAATGGCTTTTTATTTGCATTTGTAGTTAAAACTAAGTAACTGTAGTGTGTGAGGGGACTCGTTGGGAAAACGTGAGAAATGTTTCGTTTAATCTCTACCGTGTGATAAAGACATAGGCTGTATAATTGTCTGTCCCAGACAGTAAAGAGATTTAAAAAAGCTGCTCCCTTTGTCAGCTCTTCAGTATTTATTCCTACATTTTCAAACTGGTATAGCAGATGTGCACTGCTTGCTCTGCCCAGGCTTGTGTACCTTGGTCTTCCGCAAGCTCATGATGTTTTTGCCTGGCACTGAAAACAAAATATCTCATAGGAAGTTGAGTGGAAATAAGAACTCTGGGACTGTTAAGTGGTTTATTTCACAGTAGAAGAACTTATTCCTATTTTTTCCCTGTTTCAGGCACAAATGAATCAAAATTCATCCAGTAAGTGTGAATCTTTTAGTCTGTTATTTTTTTAACATAGAATGAAAACAAATATTTTTTTTTAATTGTTGGAGACATAAACTTCTTAAATATCTGTATTTTAAATTGAACAAAATGTTTCTCTTGTTAGTTTTATATAACTATTCCTTACTCTATATACTTGGCTGTTACCTGTTGTGGGGACCAGATTAACCTGTATCTGACAGTAATGAGGAACACATCCAGATGCCAAAGGGGTTGTCCCATTGGGAAAAACTTCGCTGCAAGTTCCTGAAACCCTTCCACCTGCTCAAGTTTAGTATGATCCACAAACCAGCAAAGCACACCATGTTCATGATATAAAATACTGACATAGAGGATAGAGCATTAGCTTCTATTATTCAGGGTTGGATTTTTTTTTTTTTTTAGCCAATGGGAAGCCATGCCAGATTTGCTGAAGAACAGTGTTGATGTAAATTGTATAATTCAAGGAGGAAGTTGCAAGCAAACAACACTTCCTTATGAAGTGCACTGGTCTATGTAGTCTTCTCATAGTTCAGGAATATCTAAACTTAAGTTATCAGAAATTATACATTTTCTTTTTTCCATTTTAATAGTAATTTGTTTTGAACTGCCAACATTAATATTAACTATCTTTTTATAATTAAAATTAAATTTTTATTTTACATTTCACACTTTTAATGATAATATGGTATCTTTTTCTTAGGTGAAGAGTCAACAAAATCAAAACTTTCTGCTCCAGCTACTGAGTAAGTTCAGATGTAAAATTCTATCAAATCCTATTTTGCAGGAATTTGTTCTTATTTTTCTAAACTTGGAAATGCATTGAAAATGGCAGCTGAATCCTATCTTAAGTTGTACATCCATTGCATTGTAAGCCTAAGTGTATCAATGGATATTTCCATTCATTTGTTTACCCATTCTAATACATTTGATTTATTGTGATCAATTTCAGTTGGTATTTATAATTACATAGCTACAAAATGTTTTTAAATAAGACAGTTTTTAAATAAGATCGTTACTATCCAAGAGTGTTCCATGATAAAGTGTTTAAGATTGCAAACCCCAAATTTACACTGATCTGCATACATTGCTTATGTTTATATGTGCTGAAATAAATGAATTTGAAGATGTAGGTCTCAAAAATTACAGTTATTTAACTGACATTATGGAGTATGTCCACTCACAAATTTTCACCAAAATGTTGGCTAAGACAGTCTCCTTATGCGTAAATCAGTTCTTTGACCTGCAACTTTTGACTAATTATTTTCTTTTTAGATGCAAAGACTAATATAGACTAATTTGTCAAAAGTTTTTATCATATTATTGAGGGACTTTTTACAAAAGTTTTGTAGTTATAGGACTAGGAGGAGTGGCTTTAAACTCAGAGTAGTTTTAGATTAAATATGTGGAGAAAAAATTTTACTGTGAGGTCTAGTGAGACATGGAAATAGGTCGCCTAGAGAAATTCTGGATGGCCCATCTCTGGAAATGTTCCAGACCAGTCTGGAAGGGGCTTTAAACAACCTGGTCTAGTGGATGTCAGCATGGTTGGAACAGAATTTTTAAAGATCCCTTCAAAGCCAAACTGTTCTGTGATTATTATTATATTATGAAACTACTACTGAAGTTTGTGATTTTTATGAATGCATAAATCTTTCATTTCTATTCCAATTTTAACTCTTAATACAGAAAGGGGAACAGTGACTTCCTGGCATGGGATCCACTCTTCAGCACTTCTCTTGAATCTTCCTCTTCGGCTTCTTTGGCATCCTCATCTTCCTCAGGTAAAATATTTGATGGTAGAGATGGTGTTTGCCATATTTCTGGATGTTCTGGTGTTGTTTTCTTAGTTATTGCAAGGGGACGTGCTTTTATGCATAAATTATGGAGTTTTTAAAGCAGTACACTGTCTTACAAATATTACACAACTGAGAAGGCAGCATATAAGGCTTTCAAGCTAGAGAGCAAGAAGGAAGAGGGAATGCTAGACACTTCAAGAAAATTCTGTTTTGCTCCTGCCTGTTTTTTATTGCCTTCTCATACTTACTGGATAATTGCTCACCATCTAGAATGTAATCAACTTTTTTCAGCTAGTAAGGCTGGGAGATAAAATGGAGGTTGTTGCAGCAACTGTGAGATAAGCTGAGCTTGGATTTCTTCTTTCCAGGAAAGTTGGCTATGTAGTACAAAGAGTAGAGCTTTGCTGTGAGGAACTTGTTTCCTGTAGGAAGATTGTAGGATGATTCTGTTAGGAGTTGTGAAGGCATAATCCAAGGGGAGACGGACAAAGATGACAGGACTGAGACATGAATTAAGCTGGGATCCTGAAAGCATGGATATTGCACGGAAAATGATGGTGTTGGGCATATGGGAGGTGGAGGGAGAGAGCACATGTTGCTTGGGAATTTTGCGTTGCAGGATATTAGTGTTGGTAGGACACTGGCAAGTTTTCCTGAAACCTGTTCTTTGCAAAAAAATGTTACATACTTCTTTTCACTCTACTTACTGTGTAGAGTACTTCAACATCTTAATTTTCTCTTAATGTAGACAGTTTCCTGCTCCTACAGACCTGAGAAAGAAAGTGTGTTTGCTGATTTTTTTTTTTTAACTAAGTACTTGTATTCCAAAAATAGTTCTCATTTCTTTGTTCATTATGGCTTTCTAGTGGTTTTCTTCTGTGCATGATCATGCAGATTGAAAAAGAATAAGGAGGATTACATTATCAGTAGGAGAATTCTGAAAAACTGGCATTATTTCTCGGTTTAAGTGATGTTCTTTTAATAACAATCAACATTGCTTTGTAACTCTTCAGATTTGAAGAACTTAGTCTTTCACAACAAATTGATGTACCTTAAGGGTTACAATTTTAATATATCTGGCTTACAGAATTCATTATAATTCTCTCATCCTGACTTACATAATCAGTCAGTAGTACTGGCAAGTGGATCAACCATGTGTGTGGTAGCACATTTAAGAATAAATTCTAGAGAGATATATATTACTGGAATACTCTGAAAAGAAATGGTGCTTTCTTAGAATACTCTGTTTTGATAACTTTGGTCTTGTGTTGGAGTCTGCAGAGAAAGTCAGAGGATGCTGAACTTCTTGTGCTGGTGGTTGTAGCTGTATTCAAGTGTTTATTGCTGTGCCTGGATGAGAACTGAAAGCAGGTTAGGAAGTCATCATACAGTTCCTGCTGGCAGCAGAACTGTGGAGAAAATAGTCTCTGGCTGATGAGTAATGACAGAGATCCATAATATCCTCTCTAGCTCTATCTGGCAGGGAGTCATCTACCCTAGTCATACCCATGAGGCTTATACAAAGCCCTGCAGTTCATTGAAATTGGTGCAATAGAGGGTCTTGTGGGCATAAATCAAGTTTAGATACATCTGTGCATTGGCAAACTTTATCTGATAAATAATTCTTTCAAAGACTGTTGTTCTAGAAGTTAACTAAGATATTTACATTTGTGAAATCATCTGTAGAATTAAATAGAAAGTAAATGTTCCAAAGTATAACAAATTTCTAATACATTTGGGGTAAAAAAAACCTGGATCAATGTAGGTCATGTTGTTTAAATTGAGTTCTAATGCTTGCTAACTTGCAAGTAAGTTTTAAAAGTTTTTTTTAAAATACTTGTCAGATGGTATTTGCCTCAAAATCAATGTTTTGTCTTCAACTTGAAGCTTTGTAATAAGCTGGTGCTCAAGGTTTTTGAAAATCTCAATCCCAAACTTAAATTACATACATTAGTTGTGTGGAATACAGTATATGTCCCTTATGGTTTAAACATTTGTTTAACTGCTGGTTTATAACCATGTTAATCATTGAACACTTAAACTACCTTGGTATTTGAGTAGACAGTGGATTATGCAGTACAGAAGTAATCTTTGGTCATCCATGAATAATCTCACTTTATTAGAAGTTTCAGCTATCTTTGTTATCTTGAACAAACACAACAGACATTTTTTAGCTAGCTCTTGATATTTTAAAAATGCTTCTATTAGTTATCTTCCTTATTTTCATCCATGTGTATTTTTAAATAGTTTTTAACATGTCCACATTGTTTTTAAATAGGATTTATAGTAGTATAGTAAAGCCTTGGAATGGTAGTTAAAATATCTGCTTGAAAGGGAAAGCTGTGTTAAAATTCTTAATGTCTAGGTGGACTTAGAGAATGTATTTGTTTATGGCAAAAGGACCACTGTAGAGAGGACAACTGTACTTTTGGTCTGAGCTTTTAAATGTGTTTCTTTTTTGGATTTTGATTGTCACTGCTGTTGCTCCTAGCTCTGCCAATCTGCAAGATGTTGAGAACTGACTAACCTTGCATTTTTTGCTTCTGTTGTCATCTAGAGCAACAGGCAACAGCAAGTGCAGGGAATACTTGTGGAAAATTCCTTTTTTCAGCAGTCAGAAGATTATAGGATGAGAGAGGGGAAAAAAATGGAGGTGGATGATGCCTGATCCACATTGTTACCCACTAGACACAGATTGATACAGACAGAATAACAGACTGAATCTTGTGGCTCCATTGTCTTCATTCATTCGTTCACCTGAAAGCCAAATCTGTTGGACCTTCCTATTACAAATACTAGGACTAAGAGAATCATAGTCTTTGAAAGGAACAGGATAGGTTTGATTAAATAACTTTGGAGGAAATTAAAAGCAGAAAGCTGTGGAGTGGAACCAAAAATTGAATAGGATGGAAGAAAGAAAAGACAAAGATGCGAAAAAATTAAATCACAACAGGTAGGAAGTCAAAGGAGTAAGGAAAGTTCTGAGAAATAGAGCCTTAAGTGGAGATATACAAAATAAGTTCTTTTAATGTACTGAAAAATAGAAAGGGACATAGTTGGCGGTATGAATGAAGTACATATGATATGTGACTGGCTTTTTTCTGTCTTCTATTTGTGAGTTGGGGGAGTTACTTTAGTAGAGCAGTTATTTTTCATGCTGGCTAGTAGCCCTTGTGCAGAGGATATTAAATACTTTTTTGAATACTGAAAATTTTATCTTTTCATTGTTGGTCCTAGTTTAAATTCTTCCCTTTTCCTTCAGCTACCCTAACAGAGCACAATAGGAGCTCCTCATCATCTACCACTGATTTGCCTGGGTGTAGAATATCTCAGTGTTTGCTTGGACACCAGACAGATTCTGGGTCTACAAGCCCATCCTCACCAGGCTTTACCATTAGCACTGGTGTTACAGCAGCGCCATCAGGGAGTACCAGTACTTTATCCTGTTTTTCACAGTCTCAGAGTCAGTGGATTTCCTTTGCTGATGAACTTCTTACAATTAGACACACAAGCACAGACAAGAAGGAGCCCCAAAGATTGCATTTTAAAACTGAAAATGCCTGCCTTGCCTCTTCTGCTTTGCTTGGGAATTCTTCCAACACCTGTGCTTCTGAGGATCAAAGTGACCTTTTCAATAACTCTATATGCCATGAACAATTATTCATTGAAGAAACTGGCACTGCTACTGAAATATCTTCTGCATCATCTTCAGCACTACTGGACTATAGTTTAGTGTCTTCTTGTGCTCATACAAATAAGGGTATGCCAAGCATGCATTCTGTACTGCTCTTTGCTAATAACTGACTCCAAAAAGCAAGCTTTGGATTCATTTTTTATTTTTGTTATTATTGTTCAACTGATATTAAAATTAACTCATCCTCTTACTTAGAATGTACTAAACTGCTTGTTAATGCCAGTTGGGACAGTGAAGTAAATATTCAGCTTAAAATAAGAAGAAAATTCAAGTTATTAATTTAAAGGCATTGCTTTTTCTTAACTATGCAGTGTTACTTTTCTAGAAATGGGAATGTATTTTTGTGGGATGTCAGGCAACAATGAGATCTCAAAGATTAAGTAAGTGTGTTTGCAAAATCAGTTCTTTTTACATACAAGCTTCCAAGAGTGGTTGGTATAAAATCACTTGAGAGCAATGAGAAAGCCCACAATGCTGTTTTTAGATGCACTTTTCAGGGTATCACTTGGCGCTATTTTAAAAGCACTTACGATTTGTGTTAACTCTTCAAACATGGCACTTGTACCATAGGAACCTCTAGTAGAAACATCACTTCTAGATATTCTACTCAAGTAAATAACTAATTATGTTCAGTGTGATCTTTCTAATATTTTCTTAACTTTGCTTTCTTTCAGCAAGGCCCACCACTCCTCTTTCTGTGGGCACCATTGTACCCCCTCCAAGACCTGCTTCAAGACCAAAGCTGTCTACCGGGAAACTTAGTGGGATTAATGAAATAGTAAGTATTGATTATTTTTTTATTATTATTTGCCATTTTGACTTGATTTCAGATACACCATTCATTTGCTCTGTTATAGTGGAGTTACTTTCTAGCCAATGTTCAAGGAATCTCATAAGCAGCTTTTCAACATTGCCAAATAGGCATGGTTATAGTTTATGATAATTATCTCATTACAACAAGTAATTATTAACACAAGTACTAAGGTCCAAAACATAATTTTTGCATTAGCTGAGTGTTTTCAATTGAGCAAAGCAGTAATTTGATAATGAAAGACAAAATACTATTGAAGTTATTAACAAACCTCACTTGATTTAGGGATATCACCAAAGCTCTGGGAAATGAGCGGGGTATTTTTCAGTTGTACGTTGACAGAAGTAGCCCTGTTGTGACTTCTCCCTGCACTTGGTGCTGGTTTGTGGAAAAGGGAGGTGGTAAATCACAGCAGTTGCCCATGAGGATAGCGAGAGGTTGCTCACTGTCTGCATGTACCTGCAGTGCGGGTTCGCCTGCCGATAAGGAATGTGCTAAAGAATGCAAATAACCAAACAGCCTATCAGACTAGGCCATGGCTAATTTCCTCAGTAAATATTAGTATTCTGCAGTTTCACTTGACTTCCTGACTTGGAAAAATGTTCCTGTGGTAAAATCTTCTTCTTGTCTTTCAAAGTAGCAAGATATCTTCACCATATTCTTGGGACAAACAAAATTCTCATCTTATACTTTGACAAAACTGACAGAATATTTTCAAACTGTTTTGCTTTTCTGTAGGATCAGAAAAGAGTTCATTTTGAAATTTGTTTCTCTTTCCAATACAGAATTGTAGTAATTGCTCTTAGCCCAAGAAATCTGTTCTTCATGTCATTTATCTGTTCTACTATAAAGTGTGATCCTGAACAAAGCTACGTTCATTTTATACTGTTGCTTTTGAAATATACTATTATCTGGATACAAGTAGAAGGTTGTCAGTTGTCTTCAGTATATGTTAACTCCTTTTACAATTCTCATAGTCTCTATCAAAGTAAAGAAGTGCAAGACAATGGGGGGAAAAAAGTTACTGTGACATATCCTGCCCTTAGGGGAAAGGAAACACCCAAGATTCACAAATGCTAGTGGTAGAAAGGAATGCTTAAAGTCAGAAGGTCCACAAAACTCACAAAGCTTTATTATTAAATGATGTACTTGACATGGAAATTGGTGTGTTAGTCCCTGACCTACTATATATGTACATGACTGTGGGTTCTGGATAAAGAGGTAGAATAAAAAAGGAAGAGACAAAGGAACATATGAAATAAACAGGAAAAGAAAGGGAGAAAGAGAGCACCAATCCTGGTTCCAGTGTCAGTTCAGCTGATGGAGTATCCTGGAGATACCACCTAGGCTTGTTGGAAGTACTGGTTTTCCCCACCCTGGAGCTAAGTTTCTTGTTTTCTATGCAAATTAGTCATCATGCACAGTTCATTCTTTCAGACCTTTCTGGAATTCAGTCAGAGGACTTTCAGAGTCCTAGGTGGTCTTGTTACCCCCCTACAGTCCATGCCCACTTCTCTGTCTCATTCCTGCACTTGAGCTGTACCTGTTCTCATGCTCATCTGCAGGAGCTAGGGCAAGATGTCACAGAAAAGTGCTGCCTGCCACTGCATAGCACCTTCTCTAGCCACATCTTGTTCTTTTTCACTTTGTTCCAACAGTCCTTGGTTATTACAGCACACTTCCTCTGTACCAACAGTCCTCGGTTATTAACAATGATCTATCATTATTACCAGCAGTCCTTGTCTATTAGTACCAACAATCCTTGGTTATTACCAACAGTCCTTGATCAGTATCAACAGCCCTTGGTCATTATCAACAGTTTGTCTGTTATTAGCAGCAATCCTTGGATGGTTCTACAGTCGTGCAGCTATCAGTGTATGAGACATACATATTAGCCTCTTATCTTCTGGGATTCTACAGTTATGCTTAAAAAATGATGCTCCAGGAGTTTCAGTACCTATCAGATAGGTACTGACAGGTACCCCAGCATGATCACTATTTAAATACCTTAACGGTTAAGTGTATCCTAAAGCCATCTAGAGATTTAGAGTGGAAGAGGTTTTTCTCTAGGTCAACCTGCTCAAAAAAGGGCTGACTTCAAAATTGTATCAGGTTGCTCAGGACCATGCTGAGTTTTAAAAAGTTCCAGAGTGGGAGATTTTACCAATCTGGCAGCCTGTCTCAGGATTTTACCAAAAGGTTGCAAGAAGGAGTTTTTCCTGATGACTGGCTGGCTTTTCTTCACTGTAGCTCTTGAATCTCTTAGAAGAGCCTGACTCTTGACTTCTTTGTGTGCCCCTTTTTACCTAGTAGGAGCCTGCTAATAAATCTCTTCTTAGGCTTCTGTTCTCTGGGTTGAAAAAACCCTGATCCTACAGCCACTCCTCTCTTGCTTCTGTACTCCAGTCACAACTATTTTAGTTGCACTCTGCTGCTCTCACTTCCAGTTCATTGGTAGCTCTGCTTTAGCTGTCTAAATCTATGTTTGCCACACACACAGGTCTGTATCTTAGTTTCTGACACTGTGTTCTATTATTGACAGGCTGTTGCATAAGCAAATGTATTAGACTTGACTACTCTGTCAAAAAAACCCTATAATCTATGAAATAGTGGGATTTACTCCAATGGAAAATGCAGGTTCTCTGTTTTACACTAAAAACTAGGGTAGATAAGACATTAAAGAAACTATGTTAAGAAACATTATGAAATTGATTGTGATATGAGATAAGAACTTTTCTATTTACAATATTTTTTTCATCTCTTTAAAACCACTTTGTGTTATATTCTTATGATCTCTTTTGTTCAGCCTAGGCCATTCAGCCCCCCATTGGCCTCTAACTCAAGTCCACCTCCAGCAGCTCCTTTGGCACGTGCAGAGAGCATTTCTTCTATATCCTCTTCTGCTTCCCTCAGTGCAGCAAACACACCTACAGTTGGTAAGTTTAATTAACCATTTTATCTTACTGGAGAAATAGGACAACTCAGCCACTAGGCTGCACCTGCTGCAAGAAACATTTGTTGGAGTTAGTTGTTTCATATGCGAGTCCAGGTACTTCAATCATTCTTCGCAATTTCTGCTTCTAAATGACACCGAGACACGGGAATGTAGATTAAATTAGATTAGACCATAGATCCAGTTATGGCATGTTCTTTAGGGAAATACTATTCACAATTAACATTCCATGAATTCTTATTTGGTATGCATGTATATCCATCAAGTACAACACGTTATCATATATTTGTTCAAAAAATGTTATTGTGTAGGTGCAGAAATACTTAGGGATACTGAAAAATTTGAATGAATATAAATGGTCAGAGAACTGACTTCTTTTATGTTCTAATGCTTATTTTTCTACAAGTTATTTAAGAATATAAGCTAAGCAGTAAAAGCGAAACAAACAATGAAACAAGAAAGATTAAGATGAAAAGGAAATTAGTCTTCATGTATTGCCACTAATTTCAGAAGGTTTTCTCTTGTTTTTAAAGGAAGGCACTTCAGTTTTGATATTTGATTGTCATAAATCAAAAGGAGACATTGATTTATTGTCATAAATCAAAAGGCTTTTTTAATTAGTTGGGGGTTTTTGTTGCTTTGGGAAGGGCAGGGCTTAAGACATTTTAACTTGTTTATTTATCAATATTGAACTATTTAATTTCTGAACACAGTTACACGTTTAGTCACAAGTTAAATCAAGTTGTCAAGTTATCATTCAGTTATCTGCAAATGTTATTGATGCCAAGGATTCCTCACTCAGGCTCAGCAGCTTTGAAGAGCTTCTCTGCAGAACCTAGTGGGAGTTCTGCAGTGGAGTAGTTTCCACCCTCTGCAGAAGCAAAGCTACTAAGTTCTGCCCAGTCTTAGCTCTTACAGTTCAGTGTCCACCAGTTTCACAAATGCTGAGAAGCATCACAGAAACACAACTAATATTTTGGTTACCAGAGTCTATCCAGGCTCACATCCTCAGGTCTCAGCTCTGGTGTCGAGGAACCAAAAATTGGTGGCAAGAGCATCAATATGCCCCAGCTCTGGGGAGAAATGTATGTGTATTGTTGGAACAGTGGCAGAGTGGAATCATGAGGTGAGGCAGGAGGTAAGGAGGTGTGTGCTGACAGTGAAGCTTAATGTGGCTATTATTCTGGCCTAGGAAAAATAGATAAGGCCAGTTCCCTCTGCACTGACTGTATGAATTAAATAGTCCTGGGAAAATGGGAAGGGCAGTACAAAAAGCTGAAATACTTCAGGGCATGAGGATATAGTTCGCAGTACATTCTGTATTCTTTTGACTTTTGCACAATCCAGTGTTCCCCTTACCCTCTTTATTCTGAATAATGGAGAATTGACTCTGATTATCTTCTTCCAAGTGAACTTTAAGGCATGTGTAATTGAGTGCTTCTTTTATGCTTTTGCCTTAATTTAATTTGCAAAATATTTTTGAATATTAATTTTTAACATCTATTTTTGCTTGAAATATTTTGTTTTCTTGCAATGTTTTGTTTCATTTAAATGTAATAGACGATGATATTTTGATTCGAAATCTTCCTACAATTGAAAAGCTTTGTGAGACACCACCAGGTATTGTACTCAAAGCACATTTATGTCTTTACTAATCATCCTAATATACTACATCTAATAAAATTGTATTTCCTTTTAAACAAGTTTTTCCAGATGTTTCTGATATCTGGCAAATACAAGTTGCTTGACATCTCAAGTACATAAGTTGTATGTTGCTGAAATGATCAAAACTTGATGTAACCACTTTTATATAATGTTATCTTCTGTCTGTCGACTTCCCTGCTCCATAAACAAGCTGAAAGTTTGCCTTGGTTCTTCAGTTTGTCATTACTACTTTCTTTCAAGTAAAGTGAATATATTTTTATTTTGACAATCCTAATTCTCCTAACACAAGTATGTAAGAATGTTTCTGTATTTACATATAATAGGGATCTTAGAAGACAGACATAATAAAGATAGCACTTTTTAAAATAAATTTTATTTTCATGGCAGCTGTTTAGCCAGTATTAAGACTGTCTGGATCTTTGTTCCTAAACTGAACTAAAACCATTTGATCAGTTTTATTCAGCTGTCCTTCTTATGACCAATGATGGAGTCCTTTGTTCTGCAGTTTTGCTCTGCACTTTGAAGGTGTCAGTGTAACCATTTGCATGGTTATGTTGCTAGTTCTTGTGTCAGCACAGCTCAGGAGCTAGTAGTAGTGATCAGGCTGAGACAGGTGAGGTGGCAGGATATTTAAGCCAGGTTTGCTGTCACTGCCAAAGGTGATAGACCTGGAGCCTTGATGTGGGCTGCAGCCTGAGATGAAGTTAGGATACCTTCATGCATCTCCGTCACTTCCCTTCTGTCTGAGACCTCACAGCAGGTATAGAAAACCCTGGAGCTGAATGTATTGAATTGTACTCTCAGCAGCAAGGCAACTATGACTTTCAGCATCAGGACAAGCAGTTACGTTTGTTTCATATGATAGAATGACAGAATCATGAAGGATGCGAAAAGATTGCCAAGATCATCAAGTCCAGTCATTGAACGATCACCACCTTGTCAACTCAACAAAAGCACCAAGGACTCCAGTCATTTCTTGAACACCTCCAGGGATGGTGACTCCACCCCCTCCCTGGCTAGCCTATCCTAGGTGAATAAATTCTTGCTGTTGTCCAGCCTGGATCTCCGCTGGCACAGCTTGAGGCCATTTTCACTTTTCCTGTTGCTGATTGCCTGGGAGAAGAGAGTGTCTCCTACCTTGCTACACCCTCTTTTAGGCAGTTGTAGAGAGGGATAAGGCCCCCCCTTATCTCTCCTTTTGTCCAGGCAAAATGTCTTGAGCTCCTTCAGCTGTTTCTCATATGACTTACTCTCCAGACACTTTTCTTGCTCCATTCCCCTTCTCTCTGGATGTGCTCCAGCAGCAAAAAGTCTTCCTTGAATTGAGGGACCCAAAACTGAGCACAGCACTCAAGGTGTGGCCTCCCCAGTGCTGAGTACAGGGGACAATCCCTGCCCTGCTCCTGCTGGCCACACTATTGCTGGTGCAGGCCAGGATGCCATTGGCCTTCTTGGCCACCTGGGCACTGCTGGCTCATGTTCAGCTGCTGTCAGCAGCACCCCCAGCTCCTTTTCCTGTGGGCAGCTTTGCAGCCACTCTGCCCCAGCCTGTGGCACTGCCTGGGGTTGCTGTGACCCAAGGGCAGGAGCCAGCACTGGCCTTGTTGAATGTATAGTAATTAATTTATTTTTTAAGTTTATTGGTTTCTAGGAGAATGCATAGATTTTTGAGTCAAAGGGTGATGAACAGTGGGAGCAGAGCAAGGAGAGAAGTTATGTCATTTGTAGTTCCCCAAATAGTTCTCAGAGAAAAATATATACATATGTATTTGCTTTGGTGTTCCCTGAAAAAGAGTTAAAAGTGTGTTATTTTTTCTAATAAATTTCACTTTTCAGTCAAGCAAATAGTATTTTTTCTTTTGCCAATAGGAATATAAAGAATATGTTTGCATTACTGTGCATAATTTTTGAAATATTGCTATAAAAATGTACATAAGGCCATTAAGTAAAATATTTAAAAATAATTGATACACCTGTATACAAGGTAATCCTGTTTGCCCTACAGTTGTTTGCTGTTCCTTACTAAATCGGCAGAAAAAGACATTAGAACAGCTTAGCAGCTCTAGTGACACATTCATTGAAAGTACACTTTGGTTTTAGTGAAGAATAATTCTGCAGTTAAGTATTTCACCAAACAGAATTTCAAGTAATTGACAACTCATTATTTTACCATACATTTGCCTCTTGAAATAATGGTTTCTGGATTCCTGAGACTATTGAGAATCACAGTGTCCTGGATTGTCACACACAGCTTTTTACTGGTAGTTTTCAGGGAGAGAAAATCTTTGGAATCTCGATCCATGTCTTGTCTGAAAGAATAAAGAAAAACAACCTACTATGAAAGAAAAGAATAAACAGTGGTTTTTAGCCAGAATCGTAATAATTAGTTTATTTAAGAATTTTTGTTCTTCAAGACTTTTGAGTAGATCTTTTGGATATAAGGAGGCCTAAGTGTTGCACAAATGTTTTCATGGCACTGAGAAGCATTGTGAGTATTTTACTACCGTATGTGAGAAATTGTAATAGAGGTATAGATAATTGTATAGGTAGCAGAGGTATAGGTAATTTTATGAAGTAGCAGAATTAGACCAGCTCCTGCCTTTGGCTGTCTTTCTGTCACTACTTCATTCACTTATCTCTTCATTTAAGGCCTAATATGAGATATTAGGTGCTCTGTGAAGAGTAAGGTCCCAACTTCCTTTTTACTTCTGAAAGAGCTCAGAAAGGACAGCCACTTAGAGTAAATATAAATACGTTTAGTTTGCCATGGGCAATATTAGACAGAAGCATTTTGTCTCTGCTTTGTGGTATGGAAGAGAAATTTTTCAATTTGCTTATGAAAAGATAAAGACTGTACCTCCTTTGTGGTAGGTAATACTATGTGATACAGACGATTTCTTCATGGTACAAAAAACATAAGATGCTATCTAGTACACTGCTGCAGTAAGAAAAAAAGAAGAAACTTTCAATATTGTCTTTTGTATTACATACACATGCAGAAAATTTGTGAAAAATGAAATCCCATGACAACCTGTTTCATCAGCTGTATATGCACATTTCAAAAAGCCTTCACATGAGGTCTTGGTTGATATAGCTCTATATTGGAATTGTGTTGTGTTGGCATGAGCAACAAGTGAAGACTTTTTGAACAATTTCTGCTTGGGAATTGCAGTGTTTCTTGGCTGAAAATGTTAAAAGAATGTTAAACAGTTCACTTATGTGCCGTAATATTGATGAATTTGCATTTAAGTTCATTTTTACTGTAAGTGAATTCATTGTATTTCTGTGACCATTTTATCATGCATTTTTCCATACAAAAAAAGCATACAGTAGGGATTTTTTTTAAGGCATTCTAGTCAATTTGCTTTGGGTCTGTTGACTTCACCCCCACTGGTAGCCATTTTAATGCAGTATTCCTCTGTCTCATGTATTTCCTTCTGTCTGTTTACATAATGTCATACCAGTAGTCATACCTATGTTCTTATGCTGCTGAGTAGCATTTTCGTGGTGCTATTGTACTGTACTATGTTTATCTATTTCTACACACTTTACAAGTAATATCTCAGTTGAGACTGTGATGTTGGTGTAAACTCTTGTGAAAATTACAGGTGTAGTCAACCATTCTGAAATCTACTAAGCTTTTTGAAAATTAAATTTATACACTGTATGTATTCTAGGTGTTTCACGTGGTCCCAGCCCCGTCAGCCTTGGAAACCAGGACACCTTGCCTGTTGCAGTAGCTCTTACTGAATCTGTTAACGCCTACTTTAAAGGAGCAGATCCCACAAAGTTAGTTAAATAGTGAATTGTGTTGAATGTATTGAGTTACAATGAGAAAAGACAATGGGTCTACTTTTCATACCGGGGGAGGGGAATGAGTATGCATTAGTAGGGGAATTCAAAGGGGTTTTTTCCCTGGGTATGAATGGGGCTTACTGCTCTGTAAGGGCCTGTATCGTGCCAGGAGTTCATATACACCTGCTTTACACAAATGTGTTCAGTGACAGCACTGAGAATGACAAGGATTTTTGTCATTGTCAGGTAGGTATTACATGTAATTTTGTGCAGCTGAAAGCACTTCGTTCCCTGTGATATCCATTGCTATGCTACTTAGGCCTTGCCTAGGCAGAGCCATTGCCATGTTTCCAAAGCTTGAAAAATATCCAAGACTACTGTATGCTTAAGCAGTTAAATTTTTTTATTTCTTATTTCATCTTACTTCCAAGCTGAAAGTGACAATACATAGTCACATTGCCTTCATTTGAGATTGATTTTCTCTTTTAAATTTACTTCATAAGATTGTGAAATTACAGTGGTTGCTTTAAAATTAGGCAGTTAATGAGTTGCAATGAAGCTGATTTTTTATTCTCTTCTAGATGTATTGTGAAGATTACTGGTGATATGACAATATCATTCCCAAGTGGGATTATTAAAGTATTCACCAGCAACCCATCTCCTGCTGTGCTCTGCTTCAGGGTGAAAAACACAAGCAAACTAGAGCAGATTCTTCCAAATGCACAACTTGTATACAGGTTTTGTATTTTTTTAACATAATTGTAAGCTACATAATTTGTAGAATTGCTGTGTATGTAAATCAGAATTCTTTGCAGTCTGGTTGATTGCATTACATATAATTTAATTTTCTGAATTAATCTTGTTCAGCTTAGTTCCCTCCACTGCCACTATTAAAAATCTCAGTGATCATTGGACTTAAAATTTGTGCTGAGCCATAAAAAATAATTTGTAAATGTGTCTGTGTTTTCATATGCATTTTATAAATAATTTCTTTACGCATTAGTAATAATGGTAAAACTAAATTATGAAATAGTAGGTTTAAATGGAAAATAATTAGTAGGAGATTAATGTAATCTCATTTGCCATCTGCTAGTATATTTTAAAGCCAAATCATTACACTAATCAGATTCTTTACATAACTATCTCTCAGATGTGTAGCAGCACGTTTGGAAGAATTTGTAGGAAAAAAACGTTGCTGATTGAGTAGGATAATTGTTGAAATTGCACTTGGAGATATTGTTTCTTAAAAAAAATAGAAGAGCTGGAATTTTTTTAGCAAAAATCCATTTAGGTTGAGCAGTTTCTATTTCATTTATTGGAGAAATTATTTGAACGCTAAGCCAAATGTTTTTTAATGCTGTATTTTTTTTAATTACTAAAATAATAAATCAGACCATCCATATGCACGTACTCTTTTGTATTCAGTTTCATTTTGTTAGTTCATACTTAATGTAATTAATAATTCATACAAAATTAAGTTTAATCACTGTTTGACATGACAGTTTATAACTGAAATGTTACCAGAGATGTATCTGACAAAGTGAATTATACTGCATATTTTGCAAAAAAAGGTTAAAATAGCTGGTATTCTTGAATGACTGGTGTAATATTTCATACCTAATTAATGGCCTTTCTTTGCAGTGATCAGTCACAAAGTGACTCCAGTACTAAAGACTTTTGGATGAACATGCAAGCTATAACTGTCTACCTCAAGAAATTATCAGAGCAGAATCCATCTGCATCCTATTATAACGTGGATGTTTTAAAGTATCAGGTAAACACTTTTATAGTTTTGCAATTTTTAAGGAATTCCAGCGATATTACTCAGAATATATATATATATATATACACTCAGAAATTAAAATAATTATTCTTTGTCTGCCAGCATGGAGGTGAACTGTCATCCCTCATCTAGACCAGTTCTGGGTATCTCTCTACTTAGAATGTGTAGACTCTGCACAGGCTTAGCATATTCCTGCTATGCTTCATGTCATTCCTTAAGATACAGGGCTTGTTTCAGCTTGCTAATGCTTCAGGTCAGTCCTACAAGCAAGCTTCAAACATTGCTTTTTTTGATATTTGTCAGCCAAGTAAAATTCTTCTTTAAGAGATTTGATGTGAACTTCTTGTCATTAGTACTCATACTGTTTTTGATTTTGCAACTGCCTACGTTTTGGATTGTGTCACTGATGGATTTTAATGCATGGTTCTGGCTTGCAGCTGAAAGGGAGTAGGTTTAGATTAGATATTAAGAAAAAATTTACTCAGAGGGTGGTGAGTCACTGTCACAAGTTGCCCAGAGAAGTTTTGTATGCACCGTCTATCCCTGGCAGTGTTCAAGGCCAGACTGGATAGGGCTATGAGCAACCTGATCTAGTGAAAGTTTTCTGTGCCCATGTTGAGGGTGGGTTGGAACTGTATGATTTTTAAGGTCTCTCCCAACCCAAACCATTCTGTGATTCAATCTGAGAATGTATGACATTCTGATTTCTCACAATGAGAAATAGAACAGTAGTCAGAATGGATTTACTGAGTGTAAGTCAGGCTTGACCAAGCTGACAGACTTCTATGGTGACACGACTGTCCCTGTGGATGAGGGTGGAGCAGTAGATATTGTCTGCTCAGACTTCAGGTGCCTTTCCACACCATCTACCACAGAATCTGTACAGAGAATCTGGTGAAGAACAGGCTGGATGAGCAGACACTGAGGTGAACTGACCCCCAGGGCACATAATGATTTTGCAGTTTAATAGCTTCATTAATGATCTGAATGATGGGACAGAGTTTATGAATCCTTGGCAAGTTTGCTGATGATACCAAATGGGGATGGCCTCAGGACAAACCAGAGGATTATTTTGTCCTCCTAAGGGGGCTCAATAGGTTGCAGAAATGGGCTGAGAGGAACCTCATAAAGTTCAACAAGAAGCACACTTGGGAAATCCAAGTGGAAGTGATCTTGGCAGAAAAGGTCCTGAGGGTCCTGTGGGTTATCATGTTGAACATGAGCCAAACAACCTGCTTGCTGTTCATGCTGCAAAGGCAGCAGATGGTTTCTTGGATGGTCTCCTGAGCTGCATTAGGCAAGGTATTGCTAGTAAGTGAAGGGAGGGGATCCTTCCGCTCAACGCTAGTAACACCACACCTGGGGTGCTGTGTTCAGTTCTGAATTCATTGCTAATGAGACCGGATAGAGTTCAGCAAAAGGCCATAAAGATTATGAGTATCTGTTCCATGAAGAAAGCCTAAGTGTGTTGGGACTCCCAGCCTGGAAAAGGGAAAATTCAGGGAAATCTCATCAATATGTATAAGTACCTGAGAGGGGGCAAGAGATAACAAAGCCAAGGTGTTTTCACTGATGCCCAGTGTCAGAATCAGAGGCAATGGACACAGGCTGACTCACAGGAAATTCCTTTTGAACAGCCAGAACCGCTGTTTTTCTTGTGACAGTGGCTGAGTGCTGGGCACTGCCTAGAGGGGTACTGGAGTCTCCATTCTTGGAAATGTTCAGAAGTTGTCTGGAGCTTAGGCAGCCTGCGTGAGCTGGAGGATTGGACCAGACAGCCTCCAGGAGGTCTCTGTCAACTTCAGCCATTTGGTGCATCAATGAGATGATGTTCTGGCTGTTAATAAAAAACCTTCACGAATATTCAGGACATACTCACCTCAAAGGGAGAACAGAGCTTTTCTAGGCCTGTCTTGAAATGTCTGAACATCTGAGATAACTGTCTGCACAATAAAAAAACCTGAAAATTACCTGTCAGTCCAGCTGTTCATACCTGTAGTTTCCACATCTGCCTAGTGTGGTTTAAAATCCTGGCATACTGAACCTGCAAAAAGCATGTTAGGCACACAGATTTCTTGAGAAAGGTGAGAGGAAAAAAGCATTTGGTTTGCAGAAATGAGTACTGTGTATTCTTATAAAAATGGGGCATTGGCATGTGGAAGCCCAGACAGATAAAAAAGGTTTTGGGCTTTGGACAAAAAAGGCAAGAGTGTGCACCAGGACACAGGAGTTTCCTCAAATAGATTGAGAAGGTGGTTGAGATGCATCAGCACATTAGAATGAGCTCAGCTGCAGAAGCAGCATTCAGCCCTCCTGCAGCAGGAAAATAATACTTTGAAGAGGTAAGAACTATTCTGCTGGCTGCCTGTCCCACAACGACAGGTGGTGTTCTCTGGTGCTGGCTGGTTGGGCAGCTGAATTGGCACAGCACACAACTGCTAAGTAATTTTGTTGCAAGCATGCATCTTGCAAAAGGCAGAACACAACAAAAACAAAGCTTACAAAAAAGTTATTAAAGAGCAGGAAGGAGCCTCATAGGCCAGAGGGAGTTCAAGCCTTTTCTGCAAGTATTTTAATTCAAAATTAAAATAACAGGAATTCCTTTAGGCAACAGTCTTCAAAATTCTGTGATTATGGACTCAGAGGTCAACTGTTCTCTTGATATTTTGCCAGCACTGAGACTTATCCTAATTACCATCATCCCCTAATTCTGCCTAAAAGTTGGATATTTTAATTGTATCCAATGGTTTATTCTTTTACAGGTATCTTCAAATGGCATACAGTCCACTCCCTTAAATCTTGCAACTTACTGGAAATGTGATGCTAGCACTACTGATGTGAGAGTGGATTATAAATACAATCCAGAGTCTATGAATGTGCCTAGTATGCTGTCTAATGTCCAGGTTGTGGTACCAGTAGATGGAGGAGTAATAAACATGCAGTCACTTCCACCTGCAAAATGGTAATATTAATTCTTTTCAGTATTTTTTCAGATACATTTCAGTGTATTATTTAGTGTCATAGTCTGAAAAATTTCACAGGAAGAAATAGCAAAATGTGTAGTATCAGATGTCTAGATATTTTGTGGTCTAAAACAGAGATCATGTGCCACCAATTCACATAAACTGAAACAGTCAGTGAGTACCCATCCTAGCTGTGTAATAATACAAGCCTTTATGAATTTTCCAATGTTTGCTTTCTTTTGTGTGATAGAATAGACAATTTTAATACAGTAATTTGAAATGGTTAAAAAACATTTTCTCTGTGTGTGTAACAATGTATTCTTATAAGGAGATTATATAGAAAAAGTAGCAGAAAGGCAGGTTTTTAAAAAATGTCCTGATAGTTGTAACATAAAAATTTACTTATAATGGAAATATTTTTAAAACAAACTGGAGTAACTGAGAAGCTCTGCATAAGCCAGTTAGCACTATCTCTCAATTTAAGTGTCATGAAGATTATTAGACTAGCAACTACCTGCCAACACCTTCTGAGCCCATATTTACAGCAGCACTTCAAAGTGTGACACAGGTAGGAAATTATATTACAAAGTTGCAGAAACAAGCAGAGGGTAGTGAGACTAGACAGAGTAGTACAGCCCTGGAGCAAATGTGAGCAAAATTCAATCACTGTGCCTGTACAGCATGTACATACTTGCCCAGCTGTAACATAAATCCTGGACTGTTTATTCCCAAAATGGTATTTTTAATGTGAAGAGGGCAAAGAACACCAAGCTGAAGGAACTTTTAGGCTTTGTTAACCTTGTTTCTTACAGATCAGTTTAGCTTACAAAGCAAGGTTTAAAAGAAAAATAAACATGATGCATTTATTGGATAGATTCTGATGTTTCTGGAGGCAATACACTTACAGGTGTATACTTACAGGTGTATATTGGACAATGTAGTAATAGAGTATAGTTTTAAGTGGAAAAAATTCCTTACAGGATTGAATCCTTGACTTGGTATTTCAAGGAAAACTGTACTTCTTACCAAATTGTAAGCTTATTTTGAACAAGAACATGTTTAGTATCCTATCTGAACAACACAACTACACCATGGTAAAAGTAGTCTCTGTGTCCAGGCTTCTTCCACAAACCCCCTGTAATGAAGCCGGAGTGAAAGCAGGGACGCCCGTCCAGAACACTCAGTGTTAGCTGAGAAGGCTTAGGGACAGTTGCATTAGTGAATTCACATAGGCAGCTTTCAAGACTCAGAATTTTGAGCCTGGCAAGCTGACAAAAGAAGAAAAATTCAGTTACATCCCAGGCAGGTATAATTTTTCTGATATACTACCTGTTCAATCTAGTGGATTGGGTGGTGGGGTTTTGGTCTTGTTTTAGGAAAAAAGGTCTCTATAGCTTGACTTCCTTTCAGTAAATGCTACCATATGTGCTACTTATGTGAGCATTTCAGTCCTGCTACATCAATGGCAAGAACAATTTCAAACCTATCAGCACTTCATGCTGCTCACAGCTTTAAGTTGTTGACTTTCCTCTAATGCAACTGCTAGAAACTCCTCCAGGAGTTAAAATGCTGTCAGCTCTTGGTACCCTTTTCTGCCCCTTTACAGTGTCTGAAGTTAGCTTGAACAGAGTGTTACTGATGCCAGTTTAAATAGAATGGAAATTGAATAAAATTCATGCTCTCAGGACTCTCACTTAGGAGAGAACAATCCACATTACCCTCCATTCTACCTTCATCACAAAGCATCAAGGCATAGCTTCCAGACTGCTTCCAGAGTAACTTACCCTTTAAGACTGCAGAGGGGTTTGAATTTTGGAGCCACAGGTGGGGACACAGGACGGTGTTAAATGTGTAAAAAATTACTGTATAAAATGTGTAATGGAGTGTGTTCTTCTGAGCTCACTGCTCTGGAGTGATGCAGACACACCCTTCTCTTTTCCTATTTTCCTCCTGTAGTTTTCCACAGACTTACCTTAAAATATGCAAATATTTTTATAGGCTTCCATTTAGAGATGTCTGTAATATACCAGAGTAAATCAGGGGAAATAAAGTTCTAAACACAGTAGTTGTAACTAACTTACCATTCTCTTACAGGAATGCAGACCAGATGAAAGCATGTTGGAAAATATCTAGCATTTCAGAGAAGTCTGAGAATGGAGGCAAGTTGAACTCTTTTGTTTTGCTTTCCTCTACAGACAATTTGTATCAGTAAATAGGTGATCATTTTAGCCTCTGTGCCCTCTAATTCCTTTTCACACATTTTCTTATGCTGTAACCTGTTTACTAGTTCACCTTCTTTTCAATTAATTGCCTCCTGAGAGATTCCATTATGACTGAGATGTCAAAATATAAATTTAATTATTAGCTATATAAGGGAAAATAATGAAGTACCCTGAAAATAGTTAGTAGTTCTAAAATTTAGATAGGATAGGAAATTTAGAGTTTAGATAGGATAGGAAATTTTTGCATTCATGCAATTTGGAAGTGAGCAGTTACTCAAATGAAAATAGGTTTAATACCTGTGTGTTTCCACACATAGATAATTTAAATACATTAGAAGGAAGTAAGTGGAAGAACTGCATTTAAAAAAAAATTCCAAAAGTTCTGAGTTTAGATATTTTATTCTTGACCAACATTTTGAGTCTTGGCTTTGACCATAATGACTCTAGCAAAAGACTTAAACTATGCACATCTGCTCAGAGTGGTAATTTATACAATATTGCAAAAGGTACCAATAGTTGTCCTCTGCCCAGTGCCTTTCTCTGAGCTGCATTTGATGTCACAACCCCTGTAGTCTCTGCAGGTGCAGCATTTTCCTGAAGTAGTACAGCAGCCAAAGCATCTTGTCCTCAAAGCCTCTGTGGAGAAATGAACAGCCTGTTAAGAATTTAGTGAAAAGGATTGTGAAATCACAGATTTACCTGTAAATGTGACAGGTTTCATATAGAAGCCACAAGCATGGAAAGAGAAGACAACTTCTATTCCTGAAAAGGCTGCAAAGTTGTGGTTCTCATTCATACAAAATCAGAGAGAATTTTAATTGAACATAGGTGATTAGTCTGGTGTACTTTGTCTTTCACTAACCTCACAGTTCTTTACAGTTCTTTGCCATTTGTGCCATTTGTCTTCACTACATTGGATTAGCTCTCTTTTTTTTTTTTTTTTTGCTCCCTTTTCTGAAATTTGAGGCTTCTTTTAAAAGGAAAAATCATACTGAAACACAAATGCAGCCAGATGAAGAGGAATTTTACACCTGCAGAACAGCACAGAATTGTCTGCTAGTGATCCAGTTTCCATCTTGTGTATTGACAGCAGACTTGCACATATCCCACTGCTTCTGCTGTATTCCTCTTCCCACCATCTTTTCCTCTCCTTTTCTTTGAGTATAAATATTTATAGTACTCCCAGTTCAGGAGGAAGCAATGTTGTGCTGATCTTGCACTTACAGAAGCAAAGGGAGAAGTTGCGCAGACACTGTCAATGTCAGGACAAGCGTCTTCAAGTCTTTTCTCCTGGTGGACAGCATGATAAAATTTTAGGGGGCTTTTTATGGTCCAACACATCTGTCAGCTGGAGAGAGATAAAAGACAGAACAGACTTTCAAACACTTGAATATATGAGTTTACATAGTTAGAATAGAAAGAATTTCCAGTTTACTGAAATTAGGCAGACCTACTGAAGAAATTAAATTGATCTTAAGCTAAATTTATCAAAAGTAAGCCACTTTGTGAAACAATTTCTTTTAGCTCCTACTTTTAGCTCAGTACCATTTCAGTTACTAACTTTCCTTGTAATTTAGCAGTTCTTATTGATAGGAAAGCAAGCTGTTCTAAAGTAAAATTATTCCATTAATTTTATTTTAAATCTCATTTTCCCAGCGCACTTCACAAGAGCAAGAAAAGACCTGTTTTGAAACTAAAAAGTAGTAGCAATGTGGGGATTTTGAAAACGCCTTTCATTGCCAACAGAAATGTACTTAAAGTAATTTTAAACTATTATTGCTTTATAATACTATCAAAGTGATGCCATTTCACCACTGTCTCTGAAAAAATCAACTGAAATTTGTGAGATGTATTTAATAAGCTCTTGTCTTTAGTGGAAACATAGTAATTTCTTTCCTCTGGATACATTACTATAGAACTGCATTTCTTCCAGTGTTTTTGTTCATGTACTTTCATCCAGATAGATCATGGCAACTCTTAAATGTTCTGCTAGTGAAAGCCAGATAGTACCTCCTATCTATTAATCAGATACCATCTACCACAAGATAGATGGTAGTAAGTACTTAGAGACCAGCAAGCATTAATTATTTTAGAGACCAATCAGATAAGTAGTAAGTGATTACCAGGCTGATACCCACAATTTGGATAATCTTGCAGAAATTTGTATTATTTCTCTTTAAATCATTCACTAGTCATTGTCTAAAACAGACTATTGGAAAAAACAGACCTGTACTCTTACCTCTTTTGAAAGCGTACGTAGGACTGCTGCTGGGAATAGATCTCAAAGGTCACCATATTAGTTTCACTTCTTATTACTAAAAATTTGGAGAGATCCTTTTGTTTTTGCAAAACAATCAGCTTCTCAGTTGTGTTGTTATTATAGGTTCTGGATCCCTTAGGGCAAAATTTGAGCTTTCAGGAGGACCCAGTAAACCAGCAACACTTGCAGTGCAATTCATCAGTGAAGGAAGCACCCTTTCAGGAGCAGATGTGGAACTCGTAGGCACTGGCTATCGGCTTTCCCTTCTTAAGAAGAGATTTGCCACTGGTAAGACATTGACATGCTTATATATTCAAACTAATGTTGCATGTTCTCTAGTGTTAAATTCTAAAAAATGAAACTGTTAAATGAGTGATGTATAAATAGTTACTCTTTATTGAAACACTTGTGACAAGTCAGTTTGTCAGTTTGTTTTTCCGTAGTTATTCAGACTGCTCCAAGGAAAATATTGACAAAATCTGGTTAATCTATTGACTGCAAAAAACTTATCTTTGTTTTTCAGGACGATATATGGCAGACTGTTGATGTACCTGTGAAAGTCATTGGATCAGGAGTGCAAGAAACACTTGTGACAATAGGAACTCTGCCCTCTCTATTTTTCAAACACTATTTTAACATGCATTAATTTTTAAAAATATTTACTTACTTTGAGGCTAAACTACAGAAAGTAAATGCACTTTTAAGAGTCATTTTGAAAATTTTATTACTTTACAATAGCACTGAAGTTAACTTCAACACTGTCTGTAAATGATCAACTGCAATACTTGGGAAAATTTGTTGAAAAATTAGTAACTTTATATAGAGGAAGTCAAAATAGTAATCCACAGTTGAAATGGAAGTATGAAATTTTATGTTGTACTGTAAACATTAAACCTAAAATGTAGGAGATCTAGTAAGAAATATTTGAGCTTTTCATAAGTAATACTCATTTTTCAGATTCTTTAATTGCCAGCTTTTAATTGACAGTTTAAAGATAGCAGAGGCTGTGTCTTGTGTAGTTATTTTTTCATTCACACCACAAGACCAGCTGAGTTAGAGATCTATAAAAGTAACATGATGCCCATGTATCATATATTATTAAAATGTAAGTTGTTTCATATAGGATTTTGTTTAACTAAGTGCAATGTGTTACAAATTGCAAAATACAGCAGAGATTTACTTCTGCAGTTAGTAAAATTTGTTGGGCCTTGTTATTATTTGAGTTAATGCAGTAGATTTAATTTATTTTTATATTAATTGCATAACTTTTGTGCCTTTTAAAAATGCCTGTGCCTATCCAATTTGATACTCACGTGCCTCACTTCATTTTTCAAAGTTTGGCTCTTCATCAAGAAAGCATGGCGTTTGTATTATGCACAGAATTTTATAAAAATCCTTTTTACTGCAATTTATTCAGAAGGCAGGTTTGCAAAAACTGTAGTTTGTTTTAAAAGAAATTTAAAACACTGAATTATTTCCTCGAGGAATAATTGCAATTACACGTGGTTTTAGTAAAGGGAGCTGCATCATGCAGTACTCAAACTTTTTCATTAACTAATTTTAATGTCACCAAAGAAGAGAATCTGAAAAATCAGTGACGACAGGAAAAACAAACTTCTAAAAGCAAACAGCATTACTCTTTGCTTTGGCTATAAGTCTTCAGCTTTGAGTGGATTTGGGGATGTGTGATGTGAATGTACACATAGTACTTCAGGAGGCATTGTAAAGGATATTTTGTGGCTGCAGGATGACAAATCCTGTCATGTGTTCATTTTTTTATAGCTACCAATTTTAATATTTGTATTGTAATCTAATATGCTTGCTACAGCCTAAGGAATTGCTACAGGGAATTGACACATGAGTAACAATTTTTTATGCAAGTCACTAATTTAGAAAATTTTCTATGTATTTGTATTACCAAGCTTTTTTTGTAATGTTGAAATCATAAGCATTGGGGCAACATAATTCAATAACCTGCATGTGGCAATTTCAGATGAACATTTAGCATACCAGTATCTATTTCAAATTCTCTATTAAAACAATAAAACATGCTTGAGTTAATTCATGCAAAACCAGTAATGAATTGGAGTGCTGAAGCTTTACAAGAAATTATGCCTTTGTAGAAGCTGCATAAATTGTCGTGTACACTAGACACTTCTGCCAGTGAGAGTTTCATTGTTAGTACTAAGAACATAGTGTACTGTAGATTTGATTGGAAGAGTATATTTGGCTCCTATATTTTGCTAATCTTATTAATGATAAATTTACAACTCATGAAATGGTGTTTTTATTGGAATTTTAATTGTAACCTGCTTTACAATCAAACTGATTAACACAACAATATTTTATTAATGAAAACCCAAATCTATTATTGCTATTTTTAATCAAGTATTACATTAATTTCTACAATAAATGAAGTAGTTAATATTTCAGCACTTTTAAACTAGCCTTCATTCAGATGTTTTTCATACATTTGCTTTAGGTGCAGGTTACAATTTTGAAGCCATACACGTTTATATAGACATTTTGTAAAGAAACTCAAAAACAATGTAAAAAGTATGTGTAGCTATCTGATTTAAAATAAAAAAAACTTACTTAGCAAGCTGGTTCTTGCTTGTGTACACAGCAATGTCCCTTGTAGCTGCCTCCTAAGAAAATTAATTTGTAAACACAACTCTAAAGGATCTGAATTTTTATGAATTGTTACTACGTTAGACTGTAAATTAGAACATACAAGTTTATCTTTCAAAAATTGTAAATACTCTGAATTTTCATAAAATGTAAATTTTAAAAATTTGCACCCATAATAAACATGTAATATATAATTTAAATACTGATTTATATTGCCTGTACTTTTGCAGTTAAGTTCTTCTAAGCAGTAAGGTAATAGAGAAAAAACCTGCCTGCATTGAACATTTAAATAGATTGATTTTTAAGTGATAAAGGGTAGAGATCATTGTGAACTCTTTTGTATATTTAAAATCATCACAGAGAAGGTGGATGAAAAGATGACTTCTCTAGAACGTTTCATCTTTACTAAACTGTAGTGTCTGAGATGTCTGTAGTGCCCTATACCTTTACTAAATTGATTCGCTTCGCTAATAAATTGGATTAGGCAAAACTGTGGATATGTTTATGAGAAAAATCTTGACTTGTGGACATGAGCTGCTGTCTGTAAATAGTGCTATCAAATGCTGTACATTGTCTTCATTTATGAGCCTATATCTTGTTGTGTGTGCAGGAGAAGAATTAGTGACAAGATTAAACTAATTCCTTCTGATTTCTAATGTTCCACCAGTCAAAAAGAGTAAACAATTTAGTACTTCTTCAGCAGTCTGTATGGTTTAGTCCTAAGCTTTGAGCACAGAACAGAAGCTGAAACTGAACAAATGTTTTTGAATCTGTTTGTTTCCTACTAATCCCATGGTCTGAAGAGGCTTAGTAAGTAATGACTTATTCACTAAATTCACTTTCTCAGCTGGTTGGATATCACTGCAATAGAGGTACCATTCTTGTCATGCAGGAAAACAGTAGTCCAAGGGCTTGATTCTTATCTTCTGCTGGCAGGCAGGAATGAAGAACACAAGTACTTAGTGGTCAGACTGAGTGGTCCCTCCAACGCAGTAGTCTGGTCTTCAACACTGGCCAAAGAACAGACTAGAGCCTTCGAGAGCTAATGTGTCATTTGCTTTCTGATCCCCCAGCATCTCATTTATTGGTTAGAAATGTAAAAAGGTGCTGCTCAGTTCTTCTAGTGTTCATTGAACTTAAAGCGTAACAGTTCTGACTGAGGCTGCTCTGGCACATCTGTTAACACTTGACTTGTACCCATATACTGCTCACAACTGCTGCAAACTGGATCTCTACTGTCCAAGCAGGTTTGTGATTATCTAAGTACACAATCAGGTCATTTTTCAGGGAAATCTATCTCTACCACTGCCAAATAACATTTATGTAGGGTATTTGAAGGAGCTGAGGTATTTGATTATGAACTGGAACAGCATGCGAGTTACAACTGTAGTGAGTTTTGCTATCTAACATAAAAACAAGATCTTGCATCATGGCAAAAAGTATTACATTTCAAGTCTTGTATGTTTGCAAAGCTTAAGATACACAGATGTTAAGATGTCTATCTTAAGTTTTGCAGTTGCTACATAATTGGTTTCCATTTCAGTTGTTATGGAAGGGAAATTATACTTAAGAGCATGCAAGAAAAAAAGTCAGGAATTCCTCCAAGCGTAGCATAAGCTAAAAACAGTTCAAAGTACTAAAGCATCAGATAACACATCTACTGTTGAGGGACCATTGATTGGACTGATTAAAAAGTCTCTCAACTGAAAACATAATTTTTATCTTTAATTCTACATATTATTACACCGGTTAAGTATTCCTGCTCAGCTCACTTTGATCTCCATGTTTACTGACGTGTTGATTTTTGGATTCTTCCTTAGTTCATTCAATAACCAATATAAGGCATACAGTTTTAAAAGAAGAGGCCTCTTCTGCATTACTTACTGAACATTTAGAACTCTAATTCTGCATTTTCTGTTAACTGCTTTTTATCACTTCCTTTGGAACCAATTCTTTTCATTTTTCAATCTGGGATGCTATTTTAATTAATGTAACCTAAAATATTTCTGTTTGTCTTTGTCCCAGATGAATTAATTTCTAAAGATCTTATTCTGTAACTTAGTTATTATTACTCAGGAGGTTTTTTAACTTTAAAAAGTTAATAATCATAAGCTGTAAATCATGCCAATTTCACTACTCTGATTCAACTTTTCCTTTTATCATGTCCCAACCTGTCTTCTTGAAGTTCTCAGTTCTTAAGTCATGTTTTCTACTCCAGAAAGTTAGCAGTGGTAACGTGTTCAGCAATGACTCAAATCTTTCTCCATCCTGGTTAAGGAAGCAGCCCATTTTTATAATAATTGTTGATTCTCCTCTCCAGATGTCCCTTCCTGCTTTGCTATTTGATAACCTCCTTATAATATCCACAGCCTTCCCTTCTGTTTCCCATTCTTGTTATTGGTAGGTTATGTGAACAGTCATCACTGATACAGAAATGTTAAGGCTGCCCCAGTGTTAGTACCGATGAATTGTATCCAGGTAGGATGCACCAATGCAGGGATGGAAGAAAACCAAAACTCAACTCAAAAACCTCAAAACTGTTGTTCACCTTCCATCTCTGTTGAACTCTCTTTCTCTGACACCTTACAGGACCATTCATTTAGACAGAGAATCAAAGACAGACAACAGATAGGACTTTAAGCCCCTAAGCACCTGACCTCATTCTTCAATGCAAGTTTCTCCTTCAGAGGTGAGAATTCCTTGGCCTGTGTGCATGAGTCCCTTCTCACTTCTGAGCAGTTCCTAGACCGACAGCACACTCTTAACTGCTCGGGTACGTGAGTACAAGGAGGAGTGGTGTAGTCTGTGGTCTGCCATCTCTGCAGCTGACATCCCTCTGAAGTCTCACCAGTCTATTCCCATGGGTGGGCCAAGTGCAGCCACACCTTTTGCCCTGCTGAAATCACAGTTCCATGCTCTGAGTCACTTGATTGAAAACAGTAGATTGGATGCCTGCTTCTAGTGAGATTACAGAATAAATTTAGTTTTTGAGAACTAAAATGCAGAAGATTTGTCAATGTAAAAACTGCATCTTGTACATGTAGCATGGCCCTCAGATGACTGCTATTAGTCTGGCATAATTTCTTTAGACAGAATAGAGTAGTATAGAGCAAACACTACACTCACAGGAGAGAGAATAAGGAAATTACAGGGAAAAATTAATGTGGGCACAAGTGTTCCCTACAGATTAAGTGAAGAATATGTATTTGCCACAACTTTCCCATAGAGGAGTTGAAAATTTAAAAAAATTCAGGATGATGGGCCATTAGAGTCACTTTATTGGTATTTTGCAATATACTTGAGAAGACTGTCAAACTTATCGAAATAGTAGTGTCTTTAATATGATGTGAGATGTGTTCTCTGTCCACCTAGCTATGAGCCAGAACTTGTCAATACTGCACTCACCTAAGTACCAGCCTTTGCTTACAGGAAACAATAAATTTCCCAGTGAGAGAAATACAGAACCTGTACCCCCATTTTCCTCAACTATGACCTTCCCAGATTGCTTAAGGTGACTGCTTCCTTGCCAGCTGCTCCCCAAGTGATGCCACAAAAACACTTATTAGAATTCAAGAGGTTTTTGGCAAATACCATTTTGTAGTCATTCTTCCAAGTGATTCTCCAGCTCAAAACAGTCCTACAGTAACATGGTTTTGATAAAGAAGTGTGAAACCTTTGAATAATCTGTGTTTCAGGAAGGAGCTCATCCCTCATGTAGGCAGCAACAGTGCAGTCTATGGTTTTCATACTACTGATGATTAGGGAAAACCACAAGTTGTAAAAGAAGCTTTCAAAAAAGTGTTATGCTATTCTTGAAGTGGTAACTGTTAGCATCAGTTTATAAGCAAACAATGTTCTGAGTTTTACCTGTTTAGAGTCCTTCTGGGCCCAGGAACATGGACTCAGCTATACCTTCTGGCTAGGTGATCGGTGAAGGTGTTTGTATCAACACACAGGAGGAGCAGTAGTGTCCAGAAGATATGTTCACTATTTCCATTATTGACAACAGTCTACTGTTGCCATTATTTTAGTGTGTGGAGCAAAAAGGCTTTGTATGACAACCAGCACCAGTGTCCTGCTATGTCCTCTTCACAGAAGCTGTAAAGTATTCACAGCATATGGTGCCATACACAACATAATCTGAACAGAAGACAGATTTCTGCACCACCCCTGTAAAAGCTAAGTGGTAACTTGCTATCTCCTGCTACTCCATTCAGTGATCTTTTCAGTTGTTTTTTTCTGGAATTGTAAAATATTGTAAAACAATAAGAATATTGTTAAGACTTTTGTCGGTGTTTGTAAGGAACAATACCTTTCTCACCTGTTCAGACAAAGATTGGTTATACAATTGTTTTAAAATTCTTGTTAAGTCTCTTTTGGACACTTGCCTTTAGTTAAAGGAATTCTATTCTCTTCAACATTTAAACATGTTCCATACTTGCTCTGTATCTCCATTAAAGTTTAGGAAGCCCTTCATTGCCTCTCTCCCAGCAAGGTAGGTGTTTTAATGGCTATTGCTGCCACTATCTGTATGTAAAGACACATGAATTGTATGTTTACAACAGGTGCACAATCAGATCTAACCAGATGTTTGCAAGTAATGATTCAAATGAGTACTAGATCACATCAGGTATGTCTTTCATTGTTCTCCATAGGTGTAACTAGCTCTACAGAAAGTAGTGTTAGCATATACTCCACTGTCATCTCTATAACCCAACTATGGAAGTAGTAGCAATCACATCAAGGTGAGGATGATGTTAGAAATAGTGTGGGATTATTTCTGTGGTGAAGAAACTTATGTAAGCCGTAGGAAATCAGGCACACTGCATCAGACCTCCTTGCTATAGTCAGTATTTACTTTTAAATAAGAAAAACACACAGCTGCTGGTAAGGATCCTATTGGACTACTTACAGTCTGCTTACACCTTGATTTACAGAGATACTGTTAGCTTTCAAGTGGTCTTCTGTCATCCATATCTAACCTTGGAGAACTCCTTTGGAACACTTGCCCGAGTTAAATCCAGTGCTCTTGTACAGGAAGCTGTGTTCTTCTAGGAAGGTCCTAGACTCTGCAGAAGCTGCCAAACTTGCTGGCTGTCAGCAGGTTATGGGCAACTCATTTGTAGTGCCAGAATGAGCTCAAAAGTGAGGGTGGGAGCATAGCAGTTGTGGAAAGAAATAAACATAAATTAAACTCTCT